CAGTAAAATTAAAGGTACAATATGCAGGATTTTTCGCCACCAGGGGTCGCTAACCTCTTACAATAACAAAGGTGTATATTAATGACGTATATTCCGCATTAAGCGGAATTATGGATCTTGTCGTCAAGCTGAAGGATCTTTTATGGATGAGTGAATACATTGATGTTTTTAACATGACTGTGGTGTGAAGCAGGGCGCGATTGCTAGACGTATACCAGCGCCACACGCAACGCCAGTCCCGCGGATATAAAGGAATAAGGACATTTCATTCTACCGAACTACACGCAAGTGCTGAATTAATACTCACACAGGTCAGTTTATCAGACGAATGAAACTTGAGGTAACGCAGCGGCGCTCTTTTACTTGCTCTAACAGTTACACTATCACACTAAACGGCATTTGAGTGTGTTGAATGTTGTTAGTTAAGTTGTGTGTTGGCTGTATGAGGCTAGCAGTTAGCTAGATCAACATTAGAATAACATACAGATCATATTCTAACTTTTCATCATGTTGAACTAACGTTACATAACATTGATTAGTTTTATGTACATTTGCTCACCTGTCTAATAAAGTAACATGCAACACTCGCGTGTCGCTTCTCTGTCAAGTCGAAGTTAGTCGCGGACGTGGAGCTTTCGGCATCTCGAAAGATGTTCTCAATGTCAACCTCTTTTTGTCTCAAAGTCTGCTTGCCATGGTCCAAAATCTTTGAACAAAACAACAACTGCGTGAGCGTCCTGCTAGGCATAACGGGTATAACCGGCACAACCCAGTTGTCAACGTCTGTCCCCATGGTTACTATTGCAGTACGAGGTCAAACCTGGCGGAAACCGGGGGTAACGCGGATATGACGCCATTGACTGGCGACTCCTCACCCCTGCTCACACGCCCCGTTTCCTTGGATAAAATCGCAATTTTCTCACGATTTACAAATAGTTGGAAACATTTGGGATATTGTAAGCAATCAACTAAACAAAATATATAACATTGGCCTAGTGGTTTTTGGATATTTTACTGCAAAAATCCTGCATATTGTACCTTTAATATATTGCACCCATAGTAAAAACTATGGTATGAACTCAGATATGATAGTCACTGCCCAACTTCCTCACATTATTGAACGAAGATGGCTATATACCAAGAGATAATGCATCCAATTGCTATTTTAGCTCAACCATTTGGGAGCTGAAAAAAGATCGTTTCATATTTTTGGAAAAATATTATGTGCAGACGAGACACAATAAAATGATCAACAATTAAAACTATTTTATGTAAACCTGTTATCTGTTTTTTTTCTTTCATTTATTTATTTTGTCCTTTAATTAATATACTTTTATTCAGCAAGTATGCATTAAATTGTTCAAAATGGCAGTGAAGACATTCATAATGTTACAAAAAATTCATTTTTTTTTCTATTTTTATTTCAAGTGTTGCTAAAATTTCTATACTTCAAAAAATCCTGAAAAATGTATCCCTGTTTCCACAAAAATATTAAGCAGCATTTCAACTGATAATAATAAGAAATGTTTCTTGAGCAGCAAATCAGCATATTAGAATGATTTCTGAAGGATCATGTGACACTGAAGACTAATGATGCTGAAAATTCAGCTTTGAATCACAGGAATAAATTGCATTTTAAAATAGAAAACATTTAATATAAATGTTTCATTTAGTATAAAATATTTCACACTATTTCTGTTTTACTTTATTTTTTACTGGTGGACATAAAATACTTCTGTTAAAAATATTTCAAAATCCTACTGACACCAACCTTTTGGACAGTAATGTATGTTAAACTGTTTATATTATTGTTATCAAGCTTCACAAACTATTTAAAACTTTTGTAATTCCTGACCTGAAAAAAACAAACATTATTGAAGGGGTGGGGGGTCGGGTGCAAGGACTCCTTGGTGAATAGAAATAATTTTAAATAATTCAAATAATGTTTTTTTTTTAATGTACACACACTCGGAACCATAAACGTCTGAATTTACACTACTTTGGGGTTGATATCAATGTTTTATGTTTTTGAAAAAAGCCATGCATTTACTTAAAGCTTAACTTTCAGCAACTTAATGTATTTTTTACTTTTGCTTCCCGCCCAAACCACAAAGTTTTGTTTGAGATTTGTTTACAATCCCAGACCCCCAGTTGAAGCCCCTGACTAACTGTAATATCCTGTGGGCAAAGGCAATCACAAGCAGATTAGCTGACGTCTCTCACTGGCCTGCAGGACAATCATTGGCTCTGTGCTGTAAACAATCTCAGGACAACACAATGTCACGCTATGCGATGCGTACTCATTAATGTACTCACAATGCTAACATCACTGTCTATGTGAACTACAATTCACTGACACACTGCAACCACTCATTACAGAACAAACAGCCTCTGGGGTTGCCAACTCTTTGTTTCTCTATCTACATTAATAACTTTGATTTGTTCCATGTCACTATTGATTCGGCAGTTATGTAAGAATTACATAATTGCATGTAAGAAACAGACAGTCCATCATGTAACACCAAGCTAAACAAATTGGGGAATGATAGCTCAAAAGGTCACTTCAGATAAATGCACTGCCCAATGTTTATCCATAAATTTCAGACAATTAGATCTCAAAAACATGTCCCAGTTCAAATCTGCAGCTATTATTTGATTGGGATGCACACACAGACAGTTTTTTTGTGTTTTTTTTACCTCAAGGGGGCCAAAACAACACTTTCCATGGAACATTTCACTAATGTTAGTGTATGGTTTCCATTTGGTTATTTATTTTGGAGTGGAACCAATATAACATTTTAAGAACATTCTTTTTAACATTCATATAACATTCTGGGGACCAAAATATGTTATGAAAATATGCCTGAAAACAAAATATAAAACAAGGGCATATGAGCTGTTCTCCTGATGTTGTTAGTGTATTGCGCTCATTTGTTTATTGTTATCTAACATTCTATGAACATTCTTAGGTTTTTTAGAACTATAAACTAACATTCCGAGAACGTTTAGGGGACCAACATTTGTTAGTTGTTTTTGCATCGATCTAGCCTGGGAAAACCCAGACAACTTCCGGCAAATTTAGATTTGCTCAGAAAGTTACAACTGAGAATGGTCTGGTTTTAACCAGGCTAGCATCGATCTTGCCTGCAAGCAAAATATACAACAAGGGCATATGAGCTGTTCCCCTAACATTACTATAAGGTTTCCTTTGGTTATTTTTTGGGTGGACCAAATATCTAACGTTCTAAGAATGTTCTTTATAGGTTTTTTAGAACCTTAAACTAACACTTCCAGATCATTTCGGGGGCCAAAGTTTGTTGTGTTTGCTTACTTAAAAACAAAATATACGACAATATGAGCCGTTCCCAATTAATGTAGGGTTCCCATTTGGTTCTTTTTTGGAGTGAAACCAATATCTAACATTCTTTTTGGGCTTTTTTAGGATCATAAACTAACATTCCCAGAACATTTTGAGGACTAAAATGAGTGTTTTCATCAATCTTGCCTGAAAACAAAATAGCTATAACACAGGCATTTGAGCGGTTCCCTTAACGCTTCCCATTTGGTTATTGTTTGGTTATAGATGGGACCAATATCAAATTTTCAAGGAATGTTGTTTTTAGGTTTTATTGTTAGAACAATAAACTAATATCTTCAGAACACTTGGGGAAGCAAAGGGCTGTTATTTTTGTTTGCATCTATATCTGGTCTGAAAAAAAAAGTACGGTATGAGCTGTTCTTTTTTAATTGGTATCTAACAGATCCAGTATACAGTACATACTGATGTCCACTACTTCTAATGAATGGCAGAATACAGTATTGAACAATGTACCAGATGTATGTCAGTGTAAGAGACGGAGAGACAGAGCTGGAGAAAATGAGGATGGGAGCTGCATGGGGTTGGTGGGGATAAGATAGTGTGGTGTGAGATGCATTTTTATTTGTCCTATTAGGTTTCAAGGTGGCACCGAATACTAGATCTATTTCCTGCACACACAAAAAAGTCAATAGGAAATTCCAAGAGTAAACAGGAATTATTATTCAAGGCTACATTTCCTACATCCTACATCATTGAATTTTCCAAAGAGTAAGCCATCTCACAGAAAGGCTATTTTTAATGTAATAGTTTGAAATTGAACATTAAAGTCCAAGTGGAGTTGATAAATCAAGTCATCTCTATATGCCAAACTGCATGAAAAAGTTAATTCTTCAAATGTATGGTAATGGTAATGTAATAAGTAATGTGGTATCCCCAACTTTAAGAACAATATTCCATATTCGTCCATAAATGTGAATACAATAGCTAGGCTACTCATTGGATTAAATGCAGATGATAGAAGGAATAAATGAAAGAACCACGTTGACTTATTGTGCAAATACAGCAACGCAGTTATATTAGTCTGATAGCATGTCCATGATATTTGTATAACGTCAATTCATATTCATGAGATTGGATGATGAGCTTTCACACTTTTCCCAGAGCAGACAGTGAAAAGGGTATCTGGCAATAAAGTTCATCGAGTTAATTAATAAAATTCACAAACCGGTGGTCCTAAACATTAAGAAGCGTATTCAAACAAATATTCAATAACATGACATCTCCCGTGAAAACACCTTCACGATTCACTGACAGCCTGCGCGTGCCTTGTGCACCGTTTGAACAGGTCTTCTTTATTAGACCAAACGAGATGAACTTCAAACGGCCTGGGATTTTCATATAGTCCAGAGATTTAGTCATTTGATATAATTGTATCGGTACTTTAACAGATCACTCTTACATCCATGAACGAACGATGTCACGTTAACGGATGCAACTAGCAACTTACATCTGCCTACACAGTCACGATGATTGCGAGGCGATTCAAGTCGTAAGTCAATTGCTTAGAAAGCGACAATGTAATGTTCTCCTTTGTCAATGAAGTGGACGAACTAGTGCACGGTTGCATCGTTGTATGCAACGAACAATAGCCCGCGAGACCGAGAGACCCGTGCAAACTTACCTTATATGCATGTGCAGTCGTTCCGAGATGATAGTCGCCGATGAACGAATACAAACGGCGTGAGAGCGAATAAAACAGACCTTTCCGTAAACCCCTCCTATCCTATTGCAAGTGGTCACCCATCACCAGCGGATGGGACAGCCCTCCTCCTCCTCCTCCTCCCCATCCTCCTCCTCTCTGGGACTCTGGCATTGACGGTGTGCTGTGATCCTCCTGACACCCCTATTCCCTCCAATTAAACGATAATGGAGAAGATGAAATCTATCTATCTATCTATCTATCTATCTATCTATCTATCTATCTATCTATCTATCTATCTATCTATCTATCTATCTATCTATCTATCTATCTATCTATCTATCTATCTATCTATCTATCTATCTATCTATCTATCTATCTATCTATCTATTTTCTTTCTGTCTGTTCTGCATCCTTCTTTTCAATATATGATTATTTATTTCAGATCTCAGTTTAATGCTGCCTGTCACAACTCTCTTTTGGCCCTCACCAGTAACATACACTACACTACCCGATTTAAATAGGCAAATACTTAAGAGTCTATGATTGGATCATTATTGCAGTAATTATTATTTTTGTAGCATGTTATATGTTTTGGCAGCAGTTCTTCTAACCCTAATAGCTTTTCATTTCTTAAACAACCAGGAAGACACATCATGGCCATATTCCAGGATGACAATGTCAAGATAGGCCTATATCAGGCTCAAATTGTGAAAGAATGGTTGGGAGGGACGTGAAGAACCATTTACACATGAATCCAGACCTTAAATTCATTGCAAGTCTTTGGGATGTGCTGAGGAGACTTCAGAGTGCTGGACTTTTGCATTGTCAATACAATATCTTGACCAAACATTGATGCACCTCTTCCAATCATAGACTCTAAAGCAAATGCCTATTTAAATCCAAACAGCAACCTTTTTTTCTCTGTCACAAACCTAGCTATTGTGTTAGTAAACTGGCCAAAGCCACCAAAATAAAAAGTGTTTTTGTCACTGTGTGAGCCACACTGGTCAATATGTTTAGATGTTTTTTCACCATGGAAATATTTTTTATAATATATTTTGTTCTACTTTTTAATTGGTACTGTCTGTTTTCTACACTATACAAGAATGTCAGTTTTGTCTAGCTGAATGTTCTTGTGTATCGCTGAGCTTTTAGATTCAGATTTCAACAGTAGGTCAAATTCTACAAGAAAGTCAATACTGTTAGTATTGTTAGTACAGAAAAAAAAAGGACATTTGTTCACACTTTATATTAGGTGTCCTTAACTATTACTTACATAAAAAAAATAAGTGTGTTATTGTGTTCATATTGTTTTGCAAAACAGTCCTGTTCCCCATGTACATACTATGTAGGCTACTAATTATAGTAATTACAATAACAGGGTAATAACCCTGAACCTACCTCCCTCTAAACCCAACCTGAACCCATGAAGTTACCTTATATTACCCAGTACTTTCTTAGGCAAGTACACTGTTACACGTAAGTGCACATATACTGTAAAATAAGGTGTAACCCAAAACACTTGTGCTGAGATGGGATATATGGTTATGATTGGAACAGTTGGTCAACAGTGTAATGCTATTTATTTAAAGCTGTAATAACAGGCAGGTATTTTATAAATGTAAGTATAATGTACAAAAACAGGTATGTACACCTTAAGCGCATTGTAACAAATGATTCGGTTCCACTTTATTTTAAGGTGTCATTGTTACAGTGTAATTATACATTTAAGTACTGAGTAATAATAATTAACTACATGTTACTATAGGGTTAGGGTTTGGTTTAGGGTTAGCTGCATGTAATAATGCACTGTTTATAGTAATTACTATAGTAACTACATGTAACATGTTTAACAAGGACACTGTAAAATAAAGTGTTACCTTATTCATTTAAATGTTAAAGAGACCTTAAGTGCGACCGAACATTTTTTTATTATACAGCACATTTATTTTTGTAGAAATGTGTTTCATGTAAACTGAAAATTCAGTTGCTTGTTAATTTTGACACATTCTATTATGTCTTACACCACCACACAGAGATCTGAACTTATTGTTTTGAGAGAAAAAAAATCTCATTCGAGAATTGAGCCAAAGCGATTGAGAAAATCTGTAAATGAATAGTTAAATTAGCTTAAAAGTTACTATTCGCGAACACAACCGTGTCTATTAAAACGCTTCCATAATGCATTCATCTCTATACAGCCTCTGTACACTAAGTTCATTTATATATTGTGCTTGAGACCACTAAACTTACAAGGGGAAGAGAGCGCGACCAAACCATCTGCAATGTGTCAGAAGGTCATGCACACGGCCAGTGCTACCTGTTGAGTAATTATAAAATTAAATTAAAAAAGAATGAGTAAAATTTGGTAAATGAATGAAATAAATATATCAGAGGATCACCGGGCTGTTTCCAGGCAACGGTTGTGAGGTATGAGATTCATGGCCACTGGAGGGCCCTTCCTAACCCACAACTCCCATTTTTAGAAGAACTATCCTGTATCTCTCCAGTGTCTCCAAATTATGAGCATTATCATTTATGAAAACTAATTCTGAATGATTTTTTTAGAGGCATGAATGCATGTGACTTAGCAATTAAATACGCTTATTCATTGATATTTTCTGAAAGTAAACATCATGCGTCTCTTATGAATGATGCTGTTGTATTTCAAATGCTTCTCAGATTGACAATCCTAGCAGCATTTCTATACCACTTCCCTCTTTAAGTAGAATATATGCCATTTAGGACATCATTTTTAAAGGCATCTACACTCACCTAAAGGATTATTAGGAACACCTGTTCAATTTCTCATTAATGCAATTATCTAATCAACCAATCACATGGCAGTTGCTTCAATGCATTTAGGGGTGTGGTCCTGGTCAAGACAATCTCCTGAACTCCAAACTGAATGTCAGAATGGGAAAGAAAGGTGATTTAAGCAATTTTGAGCGTGGCATGGTTGTTGGTGCCAGACGGGCCGCTCTGAGTATTTCACAATCTGCTCAGTTACTGGGATTTTCACGCACAACCATTTCTAGGGTTTACAAAGAATGGTGTGAAAAGGGAAAAACATCCAGTATGCGGCAGTCCTGTGGGCGAAAATGCCTTGTTGATGCTAGAGGTCGGAGGAGAATGGGCCGACTGATTCAAGCTGATAGAAGAGCAACTTTGACTGAAATAACCACTCGTTACAACCGAGGTATGCAGCAAAGCATTTGTGAAGCCACAACACGCACAACCTTGAGGCGGATGGGCTACAACAGCAGAAGACCCCACCGGGTACCACTCATCTCCACTACAAATAGGAAAATGAGGCTACAATTTGCAAGAGCTCACCAAAATTGGACAGTTGAAGACTGGAAAAATGTTGCCTGTTCTGATGAGAACATCTCTATTTCTGTTGAGACATTCAGATGGTAGAGTCAGAATTTGGCGTAAACAGAATGAGAACATGGATCCATCATGCCTTGTTACCACTGTGCAGGCTGGTGGTGGTGGTGTAATGGTGTGGGGGATGTTTTCTTGGCACACTTTAGGCCCCTTAGTGCCAATTGGGCATCGTTTAAATGCCACAGCCTACCTGAGCATTGTTTCTGACCATGTCCATCCCTTTATGGCCACCATGTACCCATCCTCTTATGGCTACTTCCAGCAGGATAATGCACCATGTCACAAAGCTCGAATCATTTCAAATTGGTTTCTTGAACATGACAATGAGTTCACTGTACTAAAATGGCCCCCACAGTCACCAGATCTCAACCCAATAGAGCATCTTTGGGATGTGGTGGAACGGGAGCTTCGTGCCCTGGATGTGCATCCCACAAATCTCCATCAACTGCAAGATGCTATCCTATCAATATGGGCCAACATTTCTAAAGAATGCTTTCAGCACCTGGTGAATCAATGCCACGTAGAATTAAGACAGTTCTGAAGGCGAAAGGGGGTCAAACACAGTATTAGTATGGTGTTTCTAATAATCCTTTAGGTGAGCGTATATTTGAAAACATGCACCGAATATATTACAAGACGTTTCTTATCTGCTATAGGACACCTCTGAAGACAGTCTTCCTCCTCTTTAATAATCATCATTCAGTCTGGCCGCTTTGATCACGCTTAAAAATAGAGCAGAACTCCCCAGGGGAGGTCATTACCGAGTGGCACCGCCGCCGTTAGGGCCACTGTCTGCGGAGCGCTCATTTATTTATCTGAACCTGAGCACAAGAGTAGCGCTCAGAGAAAGACACAACTCAGCAGGATGGGTCCGTCTTCCTGTCTTCAGCCTGGGTTTCTGTGGAATTTTGTCATTTAATCCCTCCATCATTAAAGTATTGAATATTTTTGAAACTTTAGCCATTTCTTTGCAATACATTACAGTATGCCATGGGATTTTGCATAGCCTGGATATTTGTTAGATAAGTGTTCATCTAATGTGGTCTACTGTATCAACAGGGACTGATGCCTACAAGGTTAAAAAAAGAATGCAAAAGCATCATCAAATGATCATAAAAACAGTCAAAATGACTAATACTGGTTTTTGAATAATACTTATTCATTCGCTTATTGAATTTTTAAACTAATGCAAAGTTCTGTCATGAAATACTAGATGGCTTAGACTATAAGAGGTCCTTATCTCAATCTACTCGTATCACATCATTCTCTATTGGGCACAGCTGATTGGTTCCTGCTGTTTCAGTGGCCAATGAGCTCGCTGCTCAACCTTCAAATACTTGGTTAGCATTGCCTTAGCAGTTGCAGCACGCTTTTAGAAACCCTCCACCTTCCCCAGCTCCACCTGTACAGATCTGCTACGGGTAATTCATGTACGCTATATTGTACAGCAGCAGCATGTCTTACTCGCTCACAGCAGCAGCAATAACAAAGGAAAACAAGACATTAATATGAAGAAAATTAGGTTTTCATTGTAACATACAGTACCTGAAAAAGGAGGATCTTAAAACTAAAATGGAGGCCGATTCCTTTTATACAAATACGGCCCAAATTACCAAAAACCCTTATGAAGACATTAGCAGGAGACCACGTAAGTTTATAAGCAGCACTGGGATTCTGGAGACCAAGACCTCCACCGCCTAAACTTTTCACTTTACCCAGACATGTTCAGGATAATCAATTGATATTGACAGACCATTCAGGTGCAACAATCCTGAAAAAGTCTTTGTTTTTCATACCTATCCTGTTAAAGCTTCAAGTGAATTTTCAGCTGGTCTCTGCTCAAACTCCTACAATAGTTGCCACCTCCATATATGAAATCATTTGTTATCCATCTAGCATGTAACATCTTTACTCTCTCCACTGGCATCCAGTATCTGCAGCAAACATTGGGAATTAAGCTAGACGTAAGAGTATGATGTAAATCTAGATCTGTCATTGTGCTGTCACTCACACACGTTATATTGCTATGTGAACGTCTTTAAAACAGTCCTTATATACTGTATCACAACCTTTGAACACCCACCTGACAAGTCATTATGATGACTAATGCACATTCTTAAAGTCATTAGTCAAAAAGAGTGTCATTTTAAACAAACTGTTATGCCATTTATGCATATTGGTTACTGAAAAAGACAACATGACGACAACAAAAAAAGAGAGAAAAAAATCAAGTGTATTTAATTCATATAATCAAATGGATACTTTTTGAAAGTGCTAAACAGAATCAAAGGTCACAAATGTATATCAAAAACATGTGATTCAATGAAAATCGAGAGTCTAACCTCAAAACAGAAAGATTTTAAACAGTGGAAAATGAAAACCTTATGATCCATAATCCTTTATAAAATATTAACGACAACACCAGTAGTGTGAACCGGAACACCATGCCTTTCAGGTGAAATTGGATCTCAAATATTGCATTTACGCCATAGCCTATATTGAATTACAAAACAATCATGTCATAGTTTCATAAGCTTCGATATGTAATTATGTCAGTTATAAGAAAATGTTTCTGGAATGGCATGCATCATGCTGTTTTAATAAAAACACTAACTGTAATAAACAAAAGAACATTCTATAATCAATGGAAGGCTGTTTATGATTGTATTCTGCACACATTTTCTTCCTTTTTCTACAAACTTGTGGATGTAAGCAAGGAATGAAGGAACAGAACAGCAGGAGAATGTCTGCTTTGGTAAACTCGTGTAAACATTTACAAGTTCAAGGTTAAAGCTTAATGGGTCCAATCCATAATTGACATTAGTGGCATTGCAAAAAAACAAAAAAAAACAAAGGCATCAGCAAAAACACTCTATTGACTGCCATGGTTACCGTGCTTCTGTTTTCAAACACAAAGTGTGGCTTTAACTCTAAGGTGACAGTGGCATTGTTAGTCAATTAATTAAGCTTCATAACTGGTAGAGCAAAGGATCATCATTAATAATGTAACCAAGGCAGTTAAGTACTAACAATTCAAGATGCAAATTTTTTTTTAGCATTTAAATTCATAAATCTTAATAATGGGTTTATTGGCTTGCAGAATGACTTCTTAATCATTGTGTGAATCTCACAAAAATATATTTTCATAAATCACCCCATATATATGCACTTTTATGTATAAAGGCACTTCAAACATTATTACCAAGAAGTATACATGTATTTTAAATAATGAACAATTTTTTCATTATGTTTAAGAAAACAAGTACATTAATGAGGGGGTGGGGGGTATGGTAAAATCTTAAAACAGGCTTAATTTTATTTAAGCAAATATTATTGACTCTTTTTTTTGTGCTTTTGATTTGAGTGAAATATGACTCAAACTGTACGTTACAGGTTTTGAGAGATTCAGCCTTTACGTTGTGCTGTTTAAACTACTTTCAATAAATGCATCTTCATATTGAAGGTTTTTTTTGAAGAAAATCATTGTATATACAGAGTCATGCATAGGCTGAGTGACATGTATGCAAATGAAAAGGCAGAAGCAGAGTAACAGAGCAGAGCAGATGTGACCGAGAGTAAAACAAAGCAGTCTCTGTCAAGGCCTGGGTTCATTAGCATTACCATGGGAAACTATTTCAAGTTTCATAATTTATAGTGTAGTGATGTACTTCCTCCTGGTGGGTTTTACCACTGTTCCCAGCTGAAGTCATCTCCACGCCCGAATGTCAGGAAGAACCCCAGAATGGTCAGAAAAATGACACTATTGCCTCCCATTACCAGGCCACAGGCGCCCCACTTGATCTGCAGAGGAAGAGAGGCATTCGTTTCATTCGTGGGGACACATTTCATTCGGTGTACTACCCGCCGTTTTAGAAAGCATATTCTGCCTGTGTATGCTTTTAAATCATTTTGAGGACATGTGAGCACTGAACAAAAATGGAATGAAATTTAATTTGTGCCTCCACAGTGATATTGGAACATTTAGAGGTTTTTCCCTCTTGTACAAAATCTGAATCATTGCTATAACGTCGGATATTATTATATGAACAAGCAAGAAATAATCTTTTAATGAACAGAATAATATTTTTAAAACCATTAAAGGGATAGTTCACCCCAAAATGAAAATTCTGTCATTAATTACTCACCCTCATGTACCCGCAAGACTTTCGTTAATCTTCGGAGCACAAATTAATATGTTTTGGATGAAATCTGAGAGATTTCTGTCCCACGAGAATGAACCTCATTGGTTCTTGCAGAAGCTCAAACGTGCTGAGTTTTTGAAAATTGGACAAAAAGAGGAAGGTACAAGATTGTGTACTTAACGACTTTAGTGATGGAAAGAACTACAATAGCATGAAGCATTATGAACAGCATGGTCGAATTAAAAACGATGGAGAAATATATAAAACTAATAATTTACAGAGGTTGATTATATATATAAACAATATATTTTAGGTTTATTGCACATACAAAGATTTAAGACCGAGTGGATTACGTAATTCGCAGTGCATTGTGGGAGTGGGCGGAGCTAAAAAGCTATTTTGAAACGTGTTGCTTTTTCAACTGTAATTTTCTGTATAGCATCATGCTTTATGTCGTTTTTCACCAGTAATTTTGCTGTTAAACATGATTTTTTTTATTATAAGCTAAAATAATGCGGGCTGACGTCTTTAGCAGAAGCAAATAACCATACCAAATACCAAGTTCAAAATCATTTTCCTTTGGAGAAAATGAATGGATTTTTTACTTCCGAAACCCGACTGTTGCACTTTATTTTCAGTACTATAATTCAAATACATCCTAAAAAATAAAATACAAATATTTTAAAAATAAATACAGAAATTAAAGGGGTGATGAACTGAGAAATCAAATTTTCCTTGAGCTTTTGACATCTAAGAGGTCATCATATTATAAGAATATCCTGTAAGTTTCAGAACTGAAAACGTTCTTGTTAGTCCAATAAAAGCTTTTATTGACACCAGGCTCAGCAAGTTTTTCAAAGTGGGGAACTATGAGGACAAAGAGGATAAAACACCACCCCCGCAGAAGAAGATCAACGCCTACTTCAACACGCTACTTTAGCCCCGCCCACCGATTCGCGCATTACACGAAACTCATTATAATATGCAAAACTGTTATCCACTCACAGCAGTGGGCGTTTACTTCCAAGTCTTCAATTTGAGACGCCCATAAAAACCGAGCGTTTTTGAGCTAGGCTCAAAACTAGGGTAGAAAATAGCCTATTACTTATTAATTTTGATGTTTTTGAATGTAAAAACCAAGCGAACGTCATAAGTTGACCTCAGACAACAATATAATTTTTTAAAAAAAAGCCAGTTCATGACCCCTTTAAAGTAACACTTTACAATAGGGTCCCATTTGTATTGAGCAATACATTTATTACAGTATTTATTCATCTTTGTTAGCGTTAGTTAATAAATATAAAACTGTTTATTGTTAGTTCATGTTAGCTCAGGTCCATTTAATATTATTAAAAACTTGTATCTACTTTTGATTTTAATAATGTATGCCTATTAAATGTTGAAATTAACATTAACTAAGATTAATACATGCTTTATAAGTATTCTTCATGTTAACTAATGTAGTTAACTTCTCAGGTTACGACTGTAACCATGGTTTTCTGAGAAGGGGAACGAGACGCTGCATCATGGAGTTATGGGATCGCTCCTTGTGAACCGGTGTCTGAAGCACGTGTGCCACACGCCGATCTTGATTGGCTACCGAGGTCGGGTAACGTCACAGGTGCGCAGGCAGGGTACATAAGGGCGCCTAGAGAGGAAGCCATCAACTTCCATTGTCTTTGGACTGAGAGTTTGGAAAAAGAGACGGCAACCGGCCCATGTGAAAACAAGGATAAATATCTTTAAATGTACTCACACAATGCTGTGTTGTTAACATGAACAATTTGAGAACAAAGTATAATTTGCACGGTTTGACGTGATATGATAAGTGATCGTTAGATTTAATTAGCGCGATTTACTGCAATGCTTTTTCCCCGCCTCATTTGGTCAGAAGAACAAAAGTGGATGTTACTTGTTCAATGACATTTTCCGGTGAAAATTCTTATGTTGGTCATACTTCCAAAAAGTAGAATCTGTGATTCTGAATGACAGTATCCACACCGACGCGGTGACTGACAGCTGCACATTCCCCTCAAACATTGGATTCATCCACGCTGTGCCATGCCGAGGTACAACTCACGTAAAGTTGATAATTCCGCGAATAACTGCAATTGCAGATTTTGAACAGAGATGGCGACAAAGAGGAAAACTGCGGACTGCAGCTTTAAGTCGTTGCTACGGTCAGTGACAGTCTTTGCTGCCATCTAATGGTACAATAATGTAACTTTTACTGAAGTCGAAATCACAATCATCTCAATACCAAATACGGCATGTTATTTCTATAAAATGATATTTATTGAAACATAATATAGAAGAAGAAGTAACAATATTAGTCATTATAAAAGTATTAGAAGTTTGTACAATAGGAAATAAACAAGCAAACAGTTCAATCAAAAGTACAAACGCAGTGCTAGTAATAGAACATAATAGAAATACCCTATCTACATAAGAGCCAATGGCAAATTCCCAAAGGACTGGCCGAGACAAAGCTGTTCTCGGCGGGTACATGAGCGCTGAACGCTGATCAGATTCGAGACCCAGAGCGAACTGGTTTATAAAAAAAAAAAATACTTATAGATATAAATACTAAATAAAATAATGGTCCTAAAAATAGAATTATTTCGTTTTGTGTGTTATTTTATTAGCCTTGGTTAAATGTGACATGGATATGTTTTTACTCTATATGTATAAGCTACATATCACCAACCCTGTCAAAATGTTTAGAATGAAAAAGATAAATATATTGTGTACTCACCACAGATGTTCTAGCTAGCACAATGGGGAGCCCGTAGGCTGACACCACGATTCCAGTGGTTAAGAAGTATGCAAGCTCCCTGCATGCATTGCTTGACTCTGTGTCATCTGCATGCCTCTTAGCTATTAAATTTGGTATAGGTGACAGAATGTAGAAGATCAGGACAAACATGGGCCAGTACTGTCTGTGAGGAAAGAAGCACAAGTTACAGTATCTTGAATTTCTGCACTTCAGTCAAGTAAAAATCCTTACAGATGGCAAAAACATGGACCTACCCAAAATGTTGCAGTGCACATCCCAAAAGGAGAAGGGTCAGTCCAAGTGCACCACTGAAGGACAACGCAACAAGAGCTGAAAGCAATAATAACTCAGATAAGTCAAGGCCAAGGCTTTGAAAACTGAAACATTACGCGTATATGTCGCCCCCTTGCGGCAATAGTTTCGCAACTGCAGATATGACGTACTTTAAGTAAATAGACTGTAAATAAATTAATTCTGTAATTTTTTTAATGTATAAGATCATTTCTTACGGTCATTTTCATTGGTTAATTTCTGAATCGAAAAAAGACTGGAGCACAACAGTAAAAGAAAATTACTAAAGTAAAAGTAAACCTATAAAACTTGAACCCTAGTTGACAACTTTACCATACAGCAACATAACACCTAACAGACTTTACTTAATCAATCGACAACATTTGCAATTATATGTTTACTTTGATGCAAAGATTCATGTGACAATCGGTAGTTTAAACTCAACAGAGTTTCGAAAGCAGATCGAAAGCAGATGCACTCGTAAAATGATCGGTGTGGTTTTGTGTAAAATATTGTTAAGAGTTGATCATATCAAGAGTTACGGTTTAACTTCACCTTTTATTCCTGCCATCACTCGCAAACGCCTTTTGTTTTTAGATCTTTGTGCTAAATGTTATGGACTGACTTCCTATTTCCTCTTCAACTACTGATCCACCCTTAAAGGAGCAGAGCCTTTTAAAATCTACGAGAGGAGAATTCACTGATCTGAAGCTGAAAAACAAACAAGTACAACAACAACAACAACAACGATAATAATAGTCTATCTATCTATCTATCTATCTATCTATCTATCTATCTATCTATCTATCTATCTATCTATCTATCTATCTATCTATCTATCTATCTATCTACCTATCTACCTATCTATCTATCTATCTATCTATCTATCTATCTCTCTCTCTCTCTCTCTCTCTCTCTCTCTCTCTCTCTCTCTCTCTCTCTCTCTCTCTCTCTCTCTCTCTCTCTCTCTCTCTATATATATATATATATATATATATATCATCTGTATTGCTGTCTAATAATAGGCCTAATAATAATAATAATAAATATTATAATTATTAATGTTAAAATAAATGAAGGTCTAAAATGCATAGTATTTAAACGAGTTTATATTGGGAACTGAAACACTAAAAAATGTACGAAAAAAAAAGTTAAAGCAAACAAAATGACAATCCGAGATTAGTAAATGGCTTATGTGGAAATTATTTGAACACATTTCTTACCGTAACCTAAAACGTTTTTGTTTTTTTACTGGAAAATGACGTAATAGACCGTACCATAGACTGTAAAAGGTATCAGACCAAATCATGATCTTGTTAACAGTGTGACAAATAAAGTTGACGTCAAGTGAGGGAACCGTCAAGCAGCCAATCAGGATCAGCGTGTTGGTCACGTAATTTATGAGAATCTCATCATGTTTCCTCGGAAGTGGAATGTGAATCGCTTTCTGAGATTCTGATGATCTTGTTTCGCACTTGACGGTAAGGTAAAATCTACTAACATGATTTATATCATTTATAAGTTTAATAAACTTTGCTGTAATATTCCAGACACACCGACGACATTCACAAACCATATTGTGTGTTAGTCGTGAATTGAGCGTTTCCTCAAACTTTCAGTTTCTATTAAACTGCCTGTAAAGACTCCAGGTGTTCGTAAAGACAGGCTTTACTGTATTTTAAAGAGGAAATGTTGTTATACTGTGTGTATATATCTATATATATATATATATGACAGAATATCCTTTTTACTAAAGTGTTCTGTAATTTTTAGGTCTAGAAAATGCCCAGCACTTCATTAATATAGTGCTGAGCACTGCAGAAGAAGTCAGTCATGGCCTCGTCGATATTACAGGGGCTCGAGGTCCATTTTTACCTGCCAGAGAAACACCAGATTATTCATCTCTCAGGTAGATTCACAGCAGATGAACTGTGTATTGAAGCTGCTAAGAAGTTGGGTACGTTTTTCAGCCTTTGTACAACATGAACATTGTATTACGACAGAGAAATAAGACAAACTCACTGTTGTCTCATTGTTACAGGTATATCTCCTTTGTGTCACAGTTTTTTTGCCCTGTATGATGAATATAGCAAGCTCTGGTATCCGCCCAATTACTCCTTCAATATTGACGAGACAACCAGACTGAAGCTTTTCTATCGCATGAGGTATTCCTGTTCTTAGTATTTTCTCATCTAGTTTTCCTTCCCAGTTTAATGGAACTACGGGGGTGTGGCCTCCCTCTGTAAAACAAATGTAAATGAAAATTAACTTAACTCTAGAGTAGAGAAATTCCCCTAATTTCTTCATAATTTTGACTTTTAATCTCATACTTATGCTATAGTATGTCATACTTATGACTAGAATGTCATAATTTCCACTTTTTATCTCATAACCTCTTTTTTTTATCTAGCGTATCATAATTTTTATGAAAATAATCCATGAGGTGCCTGTTGCGTTCCCAAATGCTATTGCTGGCTGTCAGAGTATAGGCAATTAATGGGAAACACTGTACAGATATTTGAACTTTTCCCTATTTACATTATAACCACATTTTTTGGGGCAGGTTTTATTTTACGAACTGGCATGGGAACAGTAAGACATCTCCTGCAGTGTGCAGACACTCTCTTAAACGAGGGGCGGGGTCTACGGGCTCAGCTGTGCTGGATGCAGCTTCACTAACGTACCTTTACGCACAGGTACAGTGACAAAAACACTGGACAATGTTAAAGGACGGGTTGTTCAAGAAAGTTGTGGCTTCTCATTTTCATGTGTGTTTGTGTTTGACAGAGTCAGATTGACTTTCAGAGTGGTCTGGCACCGCTGCGTAGCGCTAGCAATGAGTATGACGTCCAGCAGATAGAAAATGAGTGTTTGGGTATGGCTGTGATGGCCATCTCCCATCATTCCATTGAAAAAGATCTTCCTGTCTGTGAATTTGAGTAAGAGCTTTTTATTTATTTTTATACCTTTTAAAGTATATTTCAAAAATATAAATCAATGTTTTTCTAAAATATATATTTTTTCATGACTGAGACACACACACACACACACGCATATATACACACACAGTATATGTGTGTGTGTGTGTGTGTGTGTGTTGGCTTTTATACAGTATACAACCATATTCATTTAAATGAATATGGGATGTGGTTATTTAATTAATAATTCAAATTAATATGGTAATTTAATTTGCTTTATTTGAAAAAACACAAAATAAAACTTAAAAAAAAAAACCGAAATAAAAGTTAAGTATATTTAAAAACAAACATACACAAATGTTATTAATGTATTATTGTTATTAAGTATGAATTATTAAGCCATTATTTGTTTTAGACAAATAATTAAACTAAATTAACAGTTGACTTTCATAGTTTTGATATATGTTTAGACTCTGGTCAGTATTTTTGGAAATGAATATCCTAATGAGCTTTGATTTCTGATCCCCTTTTACATGAGATGGAGATCACAATTATAAAGTTGAATCATCCCAAATTTCACCCACATGTGATCTAAGAAACGATTTTTAACATTAATGAGTCATTTTACAACTATTAAAGTGTATCTGTATCTTTCCATGTTACATTTGATCTTTGTCAGGTACAAAAATTACATTCCCTGGGTCCTATACCAGTCCATACGTCACAGGAACATTCTCACACGTCTTCGCATCTCCAACGTCTTTAAAGATTTCCTTGAGGAATTCAACAGGAATACTGTGGAAGGCAACAGGATCAGTACGCATGACCTGAAGGTCAAATACATGTTGACTTTAGAGACTCTAACTAAACACTTCGGCCAGGAGGTGTTTAAACCCTTTTCCCTTATCATACATGACAATGAGCAAATACTCACAGACTCCAGCTGTGCTGCTGGTGTTGACCACAAAGTCCTGGTGTCTGGCACCTCTGGCATTCACTGGTGTAAAGTCCGCTCTGTGGTAAGAAGTCCGTAGTACAAATAATATCCACATAATAATATAATTTAATAAAACAAGAACAACTTAATGACTTCTGAATTGTAGTGTAGGTGCTAAAGTTTAACACTTTGGTTTAGGGCTTTGTTGAAATATCTCTTGACAATAAGTTTCCGTTTTGACAATTTCAAATATTTGTTTCCAAGACCTGTTCAGATCTGTGGACCAATAAGAAGAGACATAAATCAAAGAGAGACCGTAAGAAAAGTAAAGAAGCATCATATGATCCAGGAGAGGATAGATGGACACTCTTTTCAGACTTTAATGAGATAACGCATCTTGTCATCAAAGGCTGCGTGGTTACCATCCACAAACAAGACAACAAAAGCATGGTAGGCTCACTGTGAGATCTGCAATCTGTCAGTTTTGGTTAATTTAGGACAAGTCATAAACTTCATAAACCCTTTTTTTATGTTCTTGATTTTCCCAAGGAGCTGACGTTGGCGTCCCACGAGGAGGCGCTGTCCTTTGCCAGTCTCGTAGATGGATACTTTAGGCTCACAGTAGATGCACATCATTTCCTCTGCAGGGATATTGCTCCTGTCTCATTGGAAATTAACCTACAAGATGGCTGCCATGGTCCAATCAAGTTAGTACATTCACTCATCATGTTTAAAGAAATAGTTCACCCAAAAATAAAAATTAACTCATGTTGTTCCAAACCCGTATGGCTTTCTTGATTTTTTTTTACGCACAGGTAAAAGTCGGACGGTAATCAGGGTTTTGAATCCGAAAAATAGCTTTTTTTGAGGAACAGACCAAAATTTTATTCAGTATTCACCAATAAACTATCCCTAACTAACTAATTTCTGGTGTTATTTATTGTGATTGTTTGGGGCATTCTACAGCCCTTCATTAAACCTTTCAACACAGAATCCACTTAGATTGCTTTTTATCAATGCACAAATCATACAAACAGATTAATACTATCTGTTCCTAAATTTTGATTGGGTGGGCAAGGAAGACGTTTGGGTGGGCTCAGCCCCCACCCCTGTCCATGCCTAGAACCGGCCCTGCTCATGAAACCTCCATTTGTCAGGGGTGTGTCCCCTGTGGTGACTGGCAGGGTATATTTATATCCTTGGCAATATTACCTTTAAGGTATTCTTTAAATACCAGGTGTAGCCAGGATTTCTGGCCCTAGGGGAAAGAGTCACAACGACCGTTGGGGCGTACTTCTAGGACGGGGAACTGTGACTCAGAATCAGTTCCGTGGAAGTCATGTAGAAGACTTATGTTAGCCATTATGGCAAAGTTTTCAACTTTGATACTATTATTAAGAAATGTTTTTTTGAGCACCAAATCATCCTATTAGAAAGATTTCTGAACAAGACACTGAAGGCTGAAACCATGCTGAGAAGATACTGAAAATTCACAGACATAAATTACATTTTAATATATTTTAAAACCGAAAACCGTTCACAATATTACTGTTTGTTCTATATTTTTCGAACAAATAAATGTATCTCTGGTGAGCATAAGAGACTTTCACTAACTTTTTACTAACTTCAAACATTTCAATAACTTCAAACATTTCAATAGTAACCGAATTTAACTCTTAAACGAATTACGAATTGTCTTGTCTACAACACAGAAGCGCTCCGCAGTTTCACTACGTGAACTATCTCGAGGCCCACAAAGAAGGAAATGAATAGTTGAATAAGGTCGTTATTTTTGTTTGTTTTTTACGCACAAAAAGTATTCTTTTTGTACATTGTACATCCACTCATTGCGAGATTTTCTTTGCTGAGGTCGGTGTGGTTGCAAAATGACATTAGACTCTAGGAGAGCAGCACCTGCCTCACTTCCACTTCCGTCCGCCATTGCACCAAAAAAATCTGGCCAAAAAAACATTCATGGATAGACCAGGGCCGTCGCCAGAACATATAGAATGGGGGGGGGGGCATTTCATTTTTATGGGGGGGCACACTTTTTCAGAAACTGCTAATCTACTGGGATTTTCACGCACAACCACCTCTAGGGTTTACAGAGAATGGTCCGAAAAAGAAAAAACATCCAGTGAGCGGCAGTTCTGTGGGCGGAAATGCCTTGTTGATGCCAGAGGTCAGAGGAGAATGGCCAGACTGGTTCGAGCTGATAGAAGGGCAACAGTGACTGAAATAACCACTCGTTACAACCGAGGTATGCAGCAAAGCATTTGTGAAGCCACAACACGCACAACCTTGAGGCGGATGGGCTACAACAGCAGAAGACTCCACCGGGTACCACTCATCTCCACTACAAATAGGAAAAAGAGGCTACAATTTGCAAGAGCTCACCAAAATTGAACAGTTGAAGACTGGAAAAATGTTGCCTGGTCTGATGAGTCTCGATTTCTGTTGAGACATTCAGATGTTAGAGTCAGAATTTGGCGTAAACAGAATGAGAACATGGAACCATCATGCCTTGTTACCACTGTGCAGGCTGGTGGTGGTGGTGTAATGGTGTGGGGATGTTTTCCTGGCACACTTTAGGCCCCTTAGTGCCAATTGGGCATCGTTTAAATGCCACGGCCTACCTGAGCATTGTTTCTGACCATGTCCATCCCTTTATGGCCACCATGTACCCATCCTCTGATGGCTACTTCCACCATGTCACAAAGCTCTAATCATTTCAAATTGGTTTCTTGAACATGACAATGAGTTCACTGTACTAAAATGGCCTCCACAGTCACCAGATCTCAACCCAATAGAGCAGGGGTGGGCAACAGTTTTAGTCTGAGGGCCACAGTTACTTTGGCAAAGTAAACGGAGGGCCACACTTTGGACAATTGCAATTAAACATATACATGATTAAATATTTATTTTTGCTATAGGCCTGTCTGACCTGCTACTCTAAGGTTACAATAACTTGATTTACTTTCCTACACTACCCTTCACATTGTTCAACTGTCATTCACACCAGCTGTAGCTATTCAAGATAGAAAACTATTAACAAAACTGCAAATGTATGTGTGCAGGTTACATTAACATACAGACTTCCAGTGTTGGGAAGGATACTTTCAAAACGTATTTCGTTACAGAATACATGCCCAAAAATGCAATTTGTAACGCATTCCATTATATTACTCAATCTGAGTAACGTATTCTGAATACTTGACTTACTTCCACATTGAATTGCCTTTCATAAGTATAAGAATGCGGCCATCAAATCATGCTTACTAAACAGGCCGCTCATGTAACATAAGGGTGGCGCTGCCAATAAAGCACCTGAAAGCTGTCACAAAGAACCGGCAAAAGTAATGATTAGGAATATGTAAAATATAGCAAGGAGATATTTTAATTGTTTATTAATAAATAAGTGTTTTCTTTGTCATTGTCGGCTAAGATGAAGTTGACGATGCTGACTCGCGATCTTCGCAGTAGTGAACGCGCCAGAGAGAAATGCACATTTCATACAGATTACATAAGCAGAGAGCAGTCTGTAGTCTGTTTTCTTTCGTTTTGAATCGTTCTGTTTAAAAGTAGACATGTGAAGCAAGTAGGCTACCTTATATGCTGAGTTTCGGTTCATTTATGAGACACGCTCCAGTTCACGCGTCGGCGCCTCTGTTTCTGATTATCTATCGTCTGCTATATTTACAACTTATTTATTAAATCCAGGCAATTGGTTGATGAAACATTGATTAAAATTAAGATACAATTAATACAAAACGAAATTCACGTTAAAGAAAGGTTTTGTGCTTTCTGTTTGATGTCTCTGTGAAAGTTTTAAAGCATCTTTTAGTGCCGCTTCAGAGCGGTCGCGTCCGTAACGGAGAACACATCCGTAACATTGTTTTTCCTCATAAATGCGAACACGAAAAATAAAATAAAATGAATATTTTATGTTCTGGGGAGACTGAGAGACAACCCTTCTTCATCCGGTGGGTAGTATTACTTTGGTTTGCGCAGTGTAATTCACAGAATCACTAAAACATATTTTGCCACCTAAAAGTTAAAGATTGTTTTGTGTTCAACTACCGGTAGTTTTGTGTGGTGTAGTGTAGGTCTACGTATTTTAACGTCAAATAATAGCCTACTAATAGTATTTTGAAGATTGAAGATCTGGATGGGAAGGATAACGGAGTTGGAAGGGGTGTGTTGTGATTCTGCCTTCTCACACCGCGACACAGGTTCGTTGATCTGAGTGTCGCGATTTCGGTTTCATATTGCATATCGCATATCGTTACAGCCCTGGTAGCTAGCTGATACAACTAAAAAATAGCAAGGTGACCAGTAAAACTACAGTAGACGAGTGAGACGACTACCCCTGGCTAATAAAAAAAAGTACTTTAGATGCTTCTTCTTTAGGTTGGAGGTGGAGTCTATGGACACTGAAAGGAGGTTACACTGCACAGTTATATTTCGTTCTCCCTATAATGTGAAATGCTGTTTGGATTTCCAATATAGAAACGCATTCAGGATCGCAGTTCAGATAAAGGCGGCGTGTGTTTCATCCAAATTGCGAGTGCATTGCGGGGGCCGGATTGAAGCTCTATGCGGGCCGGATCCGGCCCCCGGGCCGTATATTGCCCATGTATGCAATAGAGCATCTTTGGGATGTGGTGGAACGGGAGATTCGCATCATGGATGTGCAGCCGACAAATCTGCGGCAACTGTGTGATGCCATCATGTCAATATGGACCAAACTCCCTGAGGAATGCTTCCAGCACCTTGTTGAATCTATGCCACGAAGAATTGAGGCAGTTCTGAAGGCAAAAGGGGGTCCAACCCGTTACTAGCATGGGGTACCTAATAAAGTGGCCGGTGAGTGTATAACGAGAGGATTTGCGCGCGCATAGATCTAATCCACTCACCGCTCAAAACACTGGAGTTTCGCCAATATTCATTTATTACAGAGAAAACCGATCCTACACCAGCATTTATGGACAGATTTTCCCTCTAAAAGCAATCAAGTATATGGAAGCTTGTGTAAGGGGTATACAGTCAAAGACCCAGAACCAGATATGAAGAATGAAGACCCGGAGTCATAATTATAAAAAATTAAAGAAAAGTTTTACTGAAGATAGTTTGCATTTTCATCAGCAGAAGTCAGCTTCAAGACTCACACAGGAGTTCGTAGGCCGCCCCCCTTACAGTTACAAAGATCACAGCAGTTATACCATTTCCAAGGTCTAAGCTACGTCATTGCTTGCAGGTTGAATGATTATCATTGGCTAAGAAACATTAAGAGCCTAAACAATTTAACACATGTGAGGAGATAGGGGTGCCTATCGCCATTAGTCAAGATAGTTGTCGTCCACTCATTAGATTTAGGTCTGTGGTGGCCTCGCAGGTTCGAGAAGGGCGCCGGGTTGTCTGGTCCGAACGTCCAGAACCTACATAGAATGTCATACGCACACACACAAATAACAGACACTAGCAAATAACAGCTCCCATCAAGGCTGAAGAGAGTCTGAGCTCCTTATTATCAGTTAAGTATACCAAAACATAATGCTAAAACATTCACTCGTTTGGGAGAAAAACAGATAACTGGCATTTACTCCCAAGGAAGGAAATATACTGGAAAGAATACATTTTAATACAACAATTAAAGTTTGATAGTAACGCTCAATATAGCTTGACCATATGTCCAGCGAAGGATCATATGTGTCCACGCTGCCTGTAGGACCCTCTAACCTTTCTACTGATCCCAGAGAAAGAGACAAACGGCCTTGTGGGTTACGTGGCCTTCGTGTCCTGCGTGTACTACGTGCAATCTCAAAGTAAGATTGGAATGCACCTAAAAGAAACTGGTTATTTACATCACATGCATTTAAGAAAATATAATTTCACAAGCACAAAGAATATAAAAATTATTATGTGATAATGAATATATTTGATTATTGATTTTTATAAAGGAAGTATATAACCATTCAAAAGGATATATGATTATAGATGTATTTGAAGAGGCAAGGGATTTTGACCAACCCTTCACTTGTTTTCGCCACGGACTAAATTTTTTTAAAAGATAATTGCGACTTTTTTCCTCACAATTCTCACATGGATTTCTCACAATTCCGAGTTTATCTCACAATTCTGACTTTATGACACGCAAATGCGACTGTATTTCACGCAACTCTGACTTTATAACTTGCCATTTTGATTTTATATCACGCAATTCTGAGAAAAATTTCCTTTATTTTATATATGTGGAAACAGTAGGCTGTTTTTAGCAGGTAAATGAATATGAAAATTCGACAACACGCGCTCCGACTAATTTCCAATTCATATTTCTGAAGACAATGTGTTATTTCAAATTAGAGATTAGTGCCTGTGTGCTAAATGCTGCATGACGACATTTCGTTATGGAATAAGTGAATGCGTTTTTTTGCTCTCAATAGTAGGCTAAGTTTGCTGAATGACCCCTAAGTTTTCACTGCCCCCTAATGCCCCCCCTTGGCGACGGGCCTGGGATAGACTTTCATCTCTTCAGCAGGTTGTACCGTTATTTAATGCGTTTTGGGATTGTTCTGCTGACGAAACAGCAAAAATGTCTTTCCAAGAAATTTCAGTAGACAAAAAACTCCAGACAATATGAGCTGTAATAAGTGATCTAAGAGCTTTATACAGCTGATGCCATTGAAAACACAGTTAGTCTATCCCTCACAGCCTCGCTTTCATACCTGTCATGGCGCTGCTCTGAATCTGTAGCTCTTATTAAATTGCACAGCATGTTCATCAGCATCTACAGATGTAATCAATAATCAAATGACAGAGAAGAATGTCTTTGGACAGCAGATGTAATGGTATCTTATTTTTTGTACCCCTCAGTAATGAATATGCCATCCATAAACTCAAGCAGGAAGGTTATGAGGAGGGCATGTACCTGCTGCGCTGGAGTACTCATGACTACGATCATATTTTCCTGACTGTCATATGCAATGAGGTATACACGGTTACTGTACTTTACTGTTTCAGTAAAAGTTGTGTATGTCAAGCAAATGTAGAATAAAGGCCAATTCACACTGCACCGACAGACGGCACTGCGACGGGTAACACACTGATCCGACAAACTCTCAGTCGGAGCTTGTTTTCGGCAATTGAACTCGCTGAATCAGCGTTTGTAGGTCTTGGAATGCCTGAGAAGTGAGGTGCTGTAATCGGGTGACTGTCGCTGTTGGTCTGCGATTGTCGGTGCAGTGTGAATTGGTCTTTGTGTGAATTGGCCTTTATGTGAATTGGCCTTTAAGGAAACATACCTTAAATATGAAAATAAGTTTGCGTAATAAGATATTGAACTGAAGTTGAAAGGTCAAAACTGACCCTTTTCTTTTAGAGGGATTGTTATGGCAGCATCACCAAAGCCTTCAAGAACTTCCAGATTGAAGTGAGCGCACAGGGCTTCCTCCTGACTGGGACAGATGTTGTGAAACCCACTCTGAGAGAGCTGACGGACCACCTGTCTAGCCAGTGTCTCTCTACAGACCAAACCAGCTTAAGACTTGAGCATGGCTGTCCACCCCAACCAAGAGGTACTGGAGCTTCCCTCCAACAGTGATACTGCAGAAGTAGATAGCCAGAGGTTTATAATGTTTGTCTTCTTAACGGAATCATTTAAAGAGGACTTTATATATGTTTTTACATGTTCAACTTTCTTTAGTGTGTAATGTTGCTGTTTGAGCATGAAAAAGGAAGTTATTCTCTATATCAGTAAGCACTGTTTCTGAACTCCCCAGAAACGCCTCGATTGTAGTCTTGGGTTTTCTTCTGAGAATGAAGTAACCATTCGTAACAGGGTGACTAAAATCATCCTTATGACTTGAAATATTGCAAAAACATAAAATAATCTTCCATTCGCTGCTTCACAGAGCAATCCAACCTCGTCCTGATGACCAGAAAAGATTCAGTGTCACACTCTTCATTAAGCACCTTCCATAGGATCTTCAAAGAGGACATTACCCAGGTTGGACATCAAAACTGTGTCTTTATGTACATGATATGAATAAAGTTAAATCTGTTTACTAGAAAACAAACAAATGTTCTTATAGTGAGAAGTTATTTCATGGTGCTGGAAGATCTGACCAAAGCGGGCCACTGTTGTTTGGATTATAGTAGTTGGTCTTAAACTGCCATTATGTTGCAGTGCCAAAAAAAACAAACAAAAACAAATCCACAACAAAACATCCATCAGCGGCCTAACCAGCTATATATATTTTTTTCTTCTTGAAGTTGGCATGAAATGGAAGTTACGATAGTCTTTTTTTCTTCTCTAATTGTGATGTATATCTGAGAGAAACATGTAGGGCAATTTTCTTGAAACCCCCCCCCCCCCCCCCCCCCCCCCCAAAAACGAATTTGTGTAAAATAATGACTTAATTTAAGCATAAATCTAAGCCATGTTAGTGGGATGTATGTTTAAAACCTGAAAAATACATGTAAGATGTGTTCTCTAAAAGCAAGTTTTACTTTACAGATCAAGTCAATTTGTATAGTTTTAAGGATGTTTATTTTTTACTGGAAAAAATAAATAAAAATACTGATTCAGAACATATTGCAGTCTTGAAGCTGGATAAACCAGGTTTACAATGTTCTACCAGTTCAGATCAGCTATTGTTTTCCAGATTAGATTGGGTTTTCCAATAGGGACGATTAGATAACTATCATCTGCCATGTAGAAATGGAAAGAAATGCTCTGTCTTATGAAGTTGATGCTTGTTAAACAGGACAAACACCTGGGTCAAGGCACTCGCACAAACATCTATGCTGGGTGGCTGAAGTTGAGAAATGAGGATGATGAGGGGGTTTTGGGCCTCCGGGTGGTGGATGTGGTTCTGAAGATGCTGGTAGCAGGACACAATTACATTTCTGTAAGTGACAACCCATCTTTTGATACATGAGTGAATAAGGGGCAATTGCTTTCACAAATACTTCTGTACATCTCTTAGGCCTTCCTGGACACAGTCAGTGTAATGCGACAGATATCCCATAAACACATGGTTCTGATGTTTGGCATATGCATGCACAGCATGGACGGTAAGTGTTCCCGCTCCACTGGACAAAAATGCAACAACTTATTCGTATTTTTAAAGTTAAAGGAATACTACAGATGATCTCACGTCTCATTGCTGTTGTTCTGCCAGTCATTATGGTGGAGGAGTTTGTTCAGTGCGGCCCTCTGGATCTGTTCATGAGAAGCCATCGCTCTGATCTCACGCCCCCCTGGAAGTTCCAAGTTGCGGAGCAGCTTTCCAGTGTCCTCAGTTATTTGGTACAAAATTTAAGTTTGAACTTGACCTTGTTTCACCCTAGTTTACATTCTGTGGAATATTTCAAAGCTATGGGTCAATAATTGAATGACTCTAAATGATGTACACATCTTAAATATTTATAGAAAATAGATTTTTTAGAACACATTTAGAGATCATGTTTAGATTAGTTCCCAATTATTTTATATTAGCTTTATTTTTGTGTATTTTCAGGTTTCATTTTCATTTTATTTGAGATTTCTTTTATTTTCTGATGTGCTTTTGTTTGTCAATTACTCAATTATATTAGGTTTTTTTATATATATATATATATATATTTCTATCTAGCTTTAATTTCAGTTTTAGTGTTAGTAATTTTAGTTTAGTTTTTAAGGTGTACACATCTTAAAAAAAAAAAAAAAAAAAAGAAAAGTGTTAAATGTATTTTTCAAGGTAAACCGGTAAAGTTTTAGTGACAGCCCTGGTTAATAATAATAATAAAAAAAAAAATCCCAAAGAAACAATAATGCATGATTATGCCACACTGTTTGACAATACATTTTAGCCTTTTGACACCCTTTTTTTTATTTGCAATCACTAGACAGTTACACTACCTAGATATTTTCCTTTGAGATAGTAAAAATATCACATTTATTAATTTTAATTCAGAAATGTAAAACCTGCTTATCAAGCGTGTATTCAAGTCATTGTCTGTATGACTGTAACTATTAATGAGTCACAATAATAACATGTGACAATTATAAACTATATTTCCCAGTGGATGATTTGATGTCCTGCTTTACCCATAGAGGTCTTAATAGTAATATCATTTGTAAATAAATAATTTAAAACTCTCTAGTGGAATCTTTGGGACAGAAAGTCTTATTTTCTCTCTTTCAGGAGGATAAGAAGCTTGTCCACGGCTATGTCTGCGCTAAAAACATCCTGTTGAAGCTGGATGGTCTAAAAGGACAGGGTGGTCCTTTCATTAAACTGAGTGATCCTGGACTGCCCATTTCCGTGCTCAGCCGAAGGGGTAACACACGCTCATGCACACTCGTCCAGAATAAATGTTTTAAAACTTTTTTAATGGTAGTGTGCCTAATGAAAAAAAAAAATATATATATATATTATTTTTTTTTCATTTTATTTTTTATTTTTTTTTCACTTGACTGTAACAATGTTGCTTGCTTGGTTTCTTTTTCTGTCAAGTGAAAAAAATATATATATATATATATATATATATATATATATATATATATTTTTTTTTCACTTGACTGTAACAATGTTGCTTGCTTGGTTTCTTTTTCTGTGTCATTTTTAAATGTGCTTATAATAAGAACAATAATGTATATAGTTGGAAAATAATATTTACATTTTTGAATATATTTTGACTTCTCAACTTCACTGTTTTGTAATGTCATTGTAGCGAGGCAAAGGTAAATCAGTGTAATGGTGTTGACTAAGTGTCATTGACAGTTTCTGACAGAGCCCATAGCCTTTATCCAGAACGTCACATGAACAAACACAAAAACAGGTCTCGTTGCATCGGCTTGTTAGAGAAAGTGTTAATGACAGTTTGAACTGACAGCGATATCTATGGACTTTTAAAGGGTTAGTTCACACAAAATTAAAAAATTGTCATCAATTACTCACCCTCATGTCGTCCCAAACCCGCAAGACTTTCATTCATCTTCGAAACACAAATAAAGTTCTTTTCGATGAAATCTGAGAGCTTTCTGTCTCTCCATTGACAGCTACTCAACTACCACTTTGACGCATCAGAAAGTTCATAAAGAGATCGTAAAACGAATCCATATGAATTTACCAAAGAGGTTCATTCTCGTGTTACGCAGCACGTTTGAGCTTCAGCAAGAACCAATGAGGTTTGTTCTTGCACATCAAGCAAGTACGGTTGAGCTTGTGTTTATGTTCGCTGATCAATATTTATGTGAATAAAAGCCTGAATTCAATCTGTTCATCGTATAAAGCGATCGTGTCTCTTCATAACATTTTGACTAAACCGCTAATTCATATGGATTAGTTTTACGATCTATTTATAAACTTTTTAAAACTTAAAAGTGGTAGTTGTGTAGCTGTCAATGGAGGGACAGAATTTTCTCAGGTTTCATTAAAAATATATATTTATTTGTGTTCTGAAGAAGAACGCAAGTGTTGCAGGTTTGGAACGTCACAAGGCTGAGTAAATGATGACAACATTTTCATTTAGGGGTAAACTAACCCTAAGGTAATATGCTAACCTAGCTAGTTCTTAATATTGTTGCCGTTTTATTCGATTTAAATATCTAAAAGTAGAAGGAAAATATAAAATATTTTAGATATCAACCTGTATATGCGATGGACTCATCTTTGCTCACTGCTCTGAAGGTATCTTGAGTAAAACGGCTCTATATATAATGAAGCACATATAAAAGACCTGAAACCGGAAGCAGTGCGACCTGTTTTACACAATACAGAAGTTTGTTGTGCATGACCCCCATTTTGCATTACTAACATTCATTGTGCCTGTGGACAGAGTGTGTTGAAAGGATCCCCTGGATCGCCCCGGAGTGTGTTAATAACCCCAAAGCACTGAGCGTTGCAGCAGACAAATGGGGGTTTGGGACCTCACTGTGGGAGATTTGCTACAATGGCGAGGTGCCTCTGTCTGAGAAGAAACTCTCAGAGGTGCTTGACTCTTTCGAATACGTTTCTACATTTATACTTGAATAAAGCAGCTGTTGTTTTATTGTAATTGAAAACCATGTTTTGTCATTTGCTTCTTAAACGATATTGTTTTTAATCTAACATCTATGTGTACATGAACAGAAAGAGCGATTCTATGAGGTGTGCGGTACTCTGGTCACTCCCAGCATCAGTGAACTGGCTGATCTGATCTCCCAGTGCATGAACTATGACCCCCGGAAGAGGCCGTTTTTCAGAGCCATAGCGAGAGAGCTGGGCCGCATCAAAGAGCAGCGAGAGCAGGGTATCTGTCACATAATATCATACTATGACTAACACAGATACTAGTCTTTAACTCTATTTTAGCCAATGGATATTTTAAAGAATTTTTGGTGTCATCAAGTGCATAAAATATTTTATATTTCACCCGACAACCAAAAACTTTATTTTTTTATTTTTTATTAAAATAGCATCGTCATTCTAGTTTAAAACCCTCTTTTAAAAATCTAATTTTCATTACTGTTATTTGGGGGAAAGTTATTATTTACATTTTAAAATACAACTGGAAGTATACATCATGTTAGTATTTGCTGTACTGAATATAATTTAATTAACTTTTTATGTTTTATCTACAGAACTTCCCATTATATCAGGGGTAATTCCTCCACAGGAGACTGATCCTGCAGATTTCAAGAGGAGATTCCTCAAGAAAATCCGAAAACTTGGAGAGGTACTGGACTTTTAGTAAAAAAAAAGTTTGGTCTAAATATTTGGACTTTTTTTCTAGAATTCTAGAACATGGAATTTTTAGAACACATTTTAATTCTGTGTAATTTTAGTATTATTTATATAATATTATAATATTTATTATTTTGAATTTTGCTTTCATTTTTATTTTTTTTAGTGTAGTATAGAATTTATATAATTGTTTTATAGGAATACTATATAAATACCTTTTAGAATTTTGAACTAGGGATTCTAATTGGGAATCTGGACCAAGTTAAAGGGATAGTTCACTTTGAAATAAATTTTTGGTATGTTTTATCTTACCTCAAGGGCATCCAAGATGTAGGTGTCTTTGTTTCCGTAGTAGTTTCAATTTTGATATTTTTAGGTCAAACCGTTCTTGTCTGTCAGTCATATAATGCAGGTCTATGGTCACCACCTCAAAGAGCATGCACAGAGAAGTCCAAATTAAACATGATTTAATGACTCGTAAATGTAAGTACACATTGATGGCCTAAGACACGAAACAAGCGGTTTGTGTGAGAAAACGAACAGTATTTATATCGTTTTTACCTCTTGTAACGCACAGACCGAAGCGCCGGCGCCCTCAGATCACTTGGACGTGGCTGTGTTTACAAGAGGTAAAAACGATATAAATACTGTTCGTTTTCTCACACAAACCGCTCGTTTGGTGTCTTAGGCCATCAATGTGTACTTACATTTACGAGTCATTAAATCATGTTTAATTTGGACTTCTCTGTGCATGCTCATCCCTCCTAAATCTCATAATCCCCTTGGAATAACGTGTCCTTGAATCATTACCTGTTTATATCGTTCTTTATAAATCTTGTCCAGGGTAACTTTGGGACGGTGGAACTGTGTCTGTATGATCCTAATGGAGATCAGACAGGTGAGCTGGTGGCCGTCAAATCTCTGAAAACACAGAATGAGAGCAACAACCTGAGAAAAGAAATCAACACCATCAGAAACCTTTACCATGAAAACATCGTCAAATACAAAGGCATCTGCAATGAAGAAGGCAAGTCGTAAACACGCCTTCACACACATGGCTCTGTTTACACAGTGTTTACATCCGTGTATAATCTTGATGGCTTACACCTTAATGAAAAAGATTATATACCTGTTACAAAAGATAATATTGCCCAGTTATATATAAACTCGCTGTATTACTTATCGCTTGCGGTTAATGTGTGTCACTCAGGAGGAAAGAACATCAGGCTCATTATGGAGTATTTGCCCGCTGGCAGTCTGAAAGAATACCTGCCGAATAACAAATCCGACATCACACAGAAGAGACTGCTGCTTTATGCTCTTCAGATATGTCAGGTAATATAGCCAACACGGTTACTTTTAAAAGTAATGTGATACAATATTGTGATACTCCCTAAAAAAGTAACTAATTGCGCTACTTAGGGTGTATTCACACCAGGAAAGTCCGATAGTTCACTTGCTTTGGTCCGGACCAAATACATTTTTTTTTTTTTTTTTTTGGTACGGTTCGCTTTCACACTGCTCTTTTTGCAAGTGAAAAAGGTCGTCCATTCATTGGACAAGGATTCTCAAGTAGGGAAATCAGGAAGTGCAAAAAAGGCTCAGCATGGAGATATTTCGTACTGCAATATTTGTTATTTTACTACTTGTGTGTTATTCTGTACAAACGCAATATGAAGAAACTGCACAGAAGACAGATAAGGTATAAAGTTTTCATTCATAGAGAGGGGCTATGTTCACACATTCAAATAATGAGATTCTTATTGTATAACAAGTGCTGTCAATGTTAACGCTGCGATTAAGTTTGTCCAGTTTAACGCAGCATCATCCTTGTATATCGTTACATTATATGAACTGCAAAAGCTTTTTTTGCATCTATGCGCGATTAGACTAAAGAGAACGCTCTGTATGTGAATGTCCTGATGCACACACTCATTCATTCATTCCATTCCAATGATGCACACACGACGCGCAGAAAGACGCGCAACAGTATCGTGTGGCCAGACAGCGCGCTGGAATGGAATTCTCTTTCGCACTTGAACAACAATTACACAAACCATTATGCCAAAATCTCCGACTACGGAAGCCTGTTAACTCAAAGGCGCAGTGCTTTCGTGCAATTGGGTCGGTCATGTTCACACCGTAAACGAACCGTACCAGAGTTCGTTTGGAACCGAGACCACCTCTTCAGCTGGGTCTCGGTTCGGTTGTTTGGTCCGCACCCGAGTTCGATTGCTGTATTCACACCTGCCCAAAAGGTCCGCACCAAGGGGGGAAACGAACTAGAGTTTGATTCAATCGAACCAAACAAGGCAGGTGTGAATACACCCTTAGTTACTTTTTATGGAAAATATTGTCACGTTACTTTTTCTCACCTGGCTGTGATTATCTCGTTTAATACAGAACACATAATTTATTCAACAATATAGCCTAAATAACCCACCTTCATTTTCTTTTAAAAACATCATATAACTATAGTCTGACCACTTAGAATATTTCCCACTTTCCTCCACTTTATCAATTACTCGCCTGTTTTTTTACACTAAACAAGCTTTCAGATGCCACTTAGTTTGATATTTTGAATCCAATGCAATTACATTCAGATATATTTAATTGTGACTTACTGTAAGCAAGTATCTACATATTTTTCATGCCACACATCAGCAGAGATCACTATGAATAACAGTGTGACAGTTCACTAGACAGATGTAGTTTAAATATTGTGTACTGTTACACTTCCCTAGTCAAATGAAGCAACATATACTGGATTCTTACTGGAATTTCTATAAATATTTGGAAATGATTTTATAGAATTAATAGAACAATTAATTTTTTATAGAATTCACAGAACACATTTCAGTTCCCAGCCAGTGTTTTTAGTATTTATATAACTATTGTAAAGTGCCCGTGCAAAATCAGTTTTTGTGTGTTTTTAGTAATTGTTGGTTTGGTGTGTTTGAGTGCTCATTGTTACAATTACACAACTAAAGTTCAGTGACATTTTTATTTGTGCATGGTAGAAAGCAAATACTGATACTGACATAATGACAATGACATACAATAAATATGGAAAATTGAACTACACGATTCAGGGAGCAGACTACACAGTGAAGAAAACGCTACTTAAGCTCCGCTGCTTTCTTCGACCCTCTCTGTCTCTGGTCCTGCGCTGTGCTCACTCAGTGTGGGGGGAGTGGCCACTCAGTGTGCAGTGTGAGAGGGGGAGTGGCCACGCAGTGTGGAGGGGGAGTGGCCACTCAGTGTGCAGTGTGGAGGGGGAGTGGCCACTCAGTGTGCAGTGTGAGAGGGGGAGTGGCCACTCAGTGTGCAGTGTGAGAGGGGGAGTGGCCACTCAGTGTGCAGTGTGAGAGGGGGAGTGGCCACTCAGTGTGCAGTCTGAGAGGGAGAGTGGCCACTCAGTGAGCAGTGTGAGAGGGGGAGTGGCCTCTCAGTGTGTAGTGTGAGAGGGGGAGTGGCCACTCAGTGTGCAGTGTGAGAGGGGGAGTGGCCATCAGTGTGCAGTGTGAGAGGGGGAGTGGCCACTCAGTGTGCAGTGTGAGAGGGGGAGTGGCCACTCAGTGTGCAGTGTGAGAGGGGGAGTGGCCACTCAGTGAGCAGTGTGAGAGGGGGAGTGGCCACTCAGTGAGCAGTGTGAGAGGGGGAGTGGCCACTCAGTGTGCAGTGTGAGAGGGGGAGTGGCCACTCAGTGTGCAGTGTGAGAGGGGGAGTGGCCACTCAGTGAGCAGTGTGAGAGGGGGAGTGGCCACTCAGTGTGCAGTGTGAGAGGGGGAGTGGCCACTCAGTGAGCAGTGTGAGAGGGGGAGTGGCCACTCAGTGTGCAGTGTGAGAGGGGGAGTGGCCACTCAGTGTGCAGTGTGAGAGGGGGAGTGGCCACTCAGTGTGCAGTGTGAGAGGGGGAGTGGCCACTCAGTGTGCAGTGTGAGAGGGGGGAGTGGCCACTCAGTGTGCAGTGTGAGAGGGGGAGTGGCCACTCAGTGTGCAGTGTGAGAGGGGGAGTGGCCAGCGGCTAGAGCGGCAAAAGCCAATATGTGCTGCTTTTACCGATATATTTACCGATATCTTTTGCATTTCTAATCCAAACAAACTTGGCACTGCACTTTCTCGTGCCCGTACCAAGACACTTGTCAAGTTTGAAATCCATAGGACTAACGGTTCGAGAGATAACAGAGGCACACACACACACAGAGAAAGACGTTCCTGTAATTTATAGATGGATATAATATTCAGAAGTAAACACCGTAGCTGACTTACATATTCAGTTAACATCCACAAATGAATAAGCGCGACGATTCAGGGAGCAGGCTACACAGTGAACCCTGAAAAAACACTACGCTTGAGCAAACAGTTTGTGAATAGGCTTCTACAAATGATGGCCGTGAATAAAATATAATATTATTCAGAAGTAAACAGTGTAGCTGACTTAATGAGTGTTTTTATGTCAGAATATTTATTTTTAAACCACAACCTTCTAAGTGCTTCTTTTAACGATATATTTTGCATTTCTAATTCAAACAACGTCAAACTTGGCACTGCACTTACTCATGCCCGTAGCAAGACACCTATCAAGTTTGAAATCCATCGGACTAACGGTTCGAGAGATATGCAATTAACAGACAGACAGACGTTCCTGTAATTTATAGATAATTATAGTATTTATTAATATTTTGAATTAGCTTTTAATTTTATATTTTCAGTTTCCAATGTTATTTTAGTTTACAGGTATTCAGTATATTGTGGGTTTGACTGTTTCCTGTGTGTTCATCAGGGAATGGAGTACCTTGGATCTCAGAACTACATCCACAGGGATCTAGCAGCGAGGAACATCTTAGTGGAGAATAAATCACTTGTGAAGATCGGGGATTTTGGTCTGACTAAGAGCATCAAAGATGATAAGGATTATTACAAAGTGACAGAAGAACAGGACAGTCCTGTGTACTGGTAAAGCAGCACCCATTTCTGCTTAGATTGGACGTTATACAACTTTAAATATTTTAATCATGTAAATCACTGTATCAACTTGTTTTTAAATTTGTTGAATATTCCTATTAAGGAGGAATAGATAAATGTTTTCTGAAGAGTTCTCAGATTAGCCAATAATTTATACACTACCATTCAAAAGTTTAGTATCAGTAAGATGTTTACGGTAGTATGCTTATGCTCACCAAGGCTGCATTTATTTGATCAAAATACATTAATTTACTATACAATTATTTCCCAATGTTTTTGTTTTTAATGTTAACTATTTTAATGCATTTTTAAAAGTAATTTATTCCTTTGAACATTACTCCAGTCTTCAGTGTCACATGATCCTTCAGAAATCATTCTAGGATGCTGATTTGCTGCTAAAGAAACGTGATTCAGATATTGTTTAATTCCACAGCCGCTACCTTACACTGATTGTGCTTTGTGTGTGCAGGTATGCTCCAGAGTGTCTGATTAGTCGGAAGTTCTATAAGGCATCTGACGTTTGGTCATTTGGGGTCACCCTCTATGAAATTATGACCTACTGTGACCCAGAATGCAGCCCTCCACAGGTGAGCCGCCCCTGGACATTACAAACCTGATATTGACTTTATTGAATACTCCAGGTAACACAGTGACCCATTCACTGATTCCTGTTAAATGTTGCCAAAGTCCCTTTCAAGGAAAGTCTGTTCACTCGGCGGCCATATTTGCAACCTCTCCGGGCAGCTATTTCAAGCATCCAAGACCAAGTCCTATCTACTTGAATGCGGAAATCCTGAAATCTCAAATACTGCTTGCCAAACTCACATTTGAATCACATGTTTCAAATCAGCAACAAAATCTGACATGAACTATCTCATAAATGTTAATGGAAAAATGTTTCAAGCTAGACAGGCCAATGTGCATTTGCAGTCCTAAAATGCACCTCTCTCAGAACACTAACCGTTTCAATGGCAACCGGAGCTTCTAACAGCAGCTGCAATGACTTGATTGGCTTTTTTATTTAGAAGGCTGGACTTATTCCGGCCATATTGCATGTTGCGCTTTCTCCCACGTGTGCACCGTCTTTGTTTATCCAAATTCTTTGATGTGTCTCTGGTAGGTTTTCAAGAATAAGATTGGTCAGTCTCAAGGGCAGATGACTATGGCCAGACTGGTAGAAGCTCTTGAGAAAGGCTGGAGGATGCCACGCCCAGATTCATGCCCTGATATGGTAAGATATGGAGTTTAGTGTGGAGTCCCATAGACTTTAGTGTGGAGGGGTTGTTATTTGGTTCATTTGCGCACAAAATGAACTGATATTAAATGATACTGTATTGTGGCCAGATTCTTCAATATATGTCTCTGTGGCTGCAGGTGTACACTCAGATGCACAGGTGCTGGAGTCATGCCCCAGAAGACAGAGTGGACTTCGAGAGCCTGATTAAAGAGTTTACGTTTCTCTCTAGAGAAAAAATCTAACTTCCTTTCATCACATCAGGTTCACCTACAGAATTCAGATTCATTTGGTCATATTTTTCTATACATTTCATTTTCTTGTATTTTTCTATACCTTCCTCATTATAAGAACTATTTTGCACGTTACTTTCTCTTTAAATCGTTGTCAGTTAATCACCTACCTCCAAAACAGTTTATACAGTGTAATCTTACAGGTACTTGGCTAACAAAACAGCATACACTTAGCATTTAAGAATTAAGTTCTAAAAAGATTCATTTATAAAAACTAAACCAGTTATTTTATGAAAGGTAAAATGCAGAAGTGCCTTATTATCACAGGAGACATATTTGTTGTATTTTACTGTAATATCTATGACATAGATAGATAGAGAGAGGAGTGGATGAATATTGTCATAATTGTAAAAAAAAAAATGTTTTAAATAAAATGTTCCTTGATTTGAAATGTGTCCTAAAGACATTGTTTATTGTACTGTAAATCCAGTTCTGGTTTGAAAAAAAAAGTTTCTGATTTGTGTTTATAGGATCACGTTATATTATCTAAATTTGTGCTAAAGGTCATAGGTTATCCAATTCTTTCAAAGAGAGAGAATGAGTCCATTCCACCAGTTCGTCCATTTCTTGCTCCCAGTGTTCCCGCCCATCTGAACCCTGAGCAGGACCAGGAATCTGGGGGATCAGCGGTTCTAATGGGGTACACATTGCAGAAACTGAGGTGAGGTGGGATCTCCGAAAGGACACACACAGTCAGATCTACAGGACCAATCACCTGGAGCTCTGCACTGCATGTAGAGTCTTCTCATGCGTTCCACACGGCTGCGCTTCTTTGGAAGCTTCTGAACAGGGCTGCACATAATAACCGAAAACCTCAAATACTGTTCTGGTGTTCAGCATTAGAAGGGTGTTCCAATATTAAAAAAGTAAAGCCCATTATATCCACTCATTAAAATCAAGCATTGATAATGAGCAAGTATGTTTGTATGGAGTGCAGTTCTTTACTAGCCTGGCAAAACCCAGACAACTTCCGGCAAATTTAGATTTGCTCTGAAAGTTAGTCTGGCAAAGAGCTCATTCAAGCCCATTTCCAATCCGTCGAAATCGCGGCACCAATCAGAAACGTTGGGGCGGGCTTTACACGATGACGACAGCGCTGGGATTTTGAAGCAGATTTTGTAGCCTACATTACAAAGATGGATGCCGCCGTCGAACATCACTCGTTCGAATCAGCTATCGCGTCTGTTTTAAAGGGATACTCCACTTTTTTTGGAAATAGGCTCATTTTACAATTCCCCCAGAGTTAAACTGTTGAGTTTTACCGGTTTTGAATCCATTCAGCCGATCTCCGGTTCTGGCGGTACCACTTTTAGCATAGCTTAGCATACATCATTGAAATGGACAAGACCATTAGCATTTCTAAAAAAAAAAAATGACCAAAGAGTTTCGATTATTTTTTTCAGGCAGCGCCTGAAACACAACGGAACTATTTTCAGGCGCTGCGTCATATCATTACGCCTGCTGCTCTCATGGTACGGCAGTAAAGTTTCTTGATTATTACGCAGGAATGAGAGTATAGTTCCTAGCCATATCAGCCTAGAAAATCGCAACTTTACATTTTCCGTCGGTCTTAGTGCACGATGTAACTACAGAAGAGTCAAGTTTTAAATAGGAAAAATATCGAAACTCTTTGGTCTTTTTTTTTTTTTTTTTAAATGCTAATGGTCTTGTCCACTTCAATGATGTATGCTAAGCTATGCTAAAAGTGGTACCGCCAGAACCGGAGATCGGCTGAATGGATTCAAAAATGGTAAAACTCAACAGTTTAACTCTGGGGGAGTTGTAAAATGAGCCTATTTCCCAAAAAAGTGGAGTATCCCTTTAAGCGATTTGAAAGTTTCCTGTTTGTTAAAAACCGAGCAAAGAACAACACTCGGAGATGTTTCTACCGCTCTGCATACGTCATCTCCTTCATCGCTCTGGGGTGCGTTTCCCGAAAGCATCGTTAGCCAACTATGGTCGCAAGTTCCGTCGTTACCAATAGAGTTCAATGGGATTTGCGACCAACTTGCGACCATGGTTGGCTAACGATGCTTTCGGGAAACGCACCCCTGATTGGTTTTAGGTCTATCCGCGACGTCCGTTGGTGACGCCCCTCTGGAAATGATTTGTCTATGACGCTTTGCCAGACCATAACTCAGTTACAACTGACAATAGTCTGGTTTTAACCAGGCTAGTTCTTTACTACTCTCTAGGAAAAACAGTCCTTCGGATGATATCATGATGAGTATGGAAGCCCAATTCCTCCACATAAGAATCATGCTTTGGTAAATCATAATTATGACATAAAAAGGTCACAATTATAAGATAAAAAAAAAATTCAATTATGAGATACTGTGGTGTAATTTTGACATAAAAAATCAACATGACAGTCATAATTACGACCTAAAAAGTCCAAATGTTTGTCATTATTATGGATTTTCGTCAATTTTGACTTTCTATATCAGTCAAAACTATAAGATAAAATGTCATAACTACCTTACATTTGACTTTTTATCTCAAAATTGTTTTGTGGCACCATAAGGACACATAGGAAAAGAGGGATACAGGACATTACAAGTGCTCCTTAATCTTAGAAATGTAAACTATATTTCATTGAAACTAAATTGTAACAATATCTGAGCTTGTATGTAATGAGTGAATGTGTATTATATCAACTCACATGTTGCGCTGTATTTGAATGAGACAATCTTTGACAGTGATAACACTGCTTGCTGACCCATAATTGACTGCACATCTCTCTGTATATTTGATGAATTCATCCAAAGCTGTAATAAAAAATATCAACGAATTTTGGCAGACTATCTCCACACCAGACTCTATATTTTGAAAACATCTTAGAGAGATCATATACACATTTTTTTAAAGGAAACCGTTAATAGCAAATGAAGCACTACATTAGATTCGCTGATGTATTCCACACCATCACTATACAGAAAAGTCTTATATTAATTCACTTACAATCACTTCCTTTCAGAAGTTCTGGGTTAGTGGTGGCGATTCTCATCCATATGTCGAGATACTCCTCAAAGGCAATTCTACATACTCGCCTGGTAAAGAAGAGGAGATAGTTTACAGATCCTATATATATTTTTATGATATCTATTACAAAACTTTAAAGTAAGAGTCAAAAGATTTGTGGTCTTGCCTTTCACTTGACTTCAGCCCCATTCCTGCCACACTGTCTGATTTAAATGGTGAAAAATATATAGTTTGAAAGTATTGTCATTTTAATATGATTTTGGAAAATGTGATTTATGATGTGCAAGGCAGAGTTCGTGAACTTGTGGGTTATTCTTACCCTCCAGCTCCTGACTGTTCGTAATGATCTGTGTTGATGGAGAGCAGGACAGCATATCAATATGCTTCCATGGCTACTTTTTTCTTTAGCAATAGGCAAGAGAACAATATAAAAAGAGTGTGGATAATGCTGACTCATCAAAAGCACTGTGCATGTGGCCTGTAACCTGTTGGAATGTGAGGGAAAGTTTGGCTAATCATGGAATAGGCTCGTCTGTTTAAATTCTTTCTTTTTTACCTGTAATTATATCAGTAATATCAATAACGTCAACAAAGATTAATACATATTGTGACAAATGTATTGTTAGTTGACTAATGGGACCTTATGTAGCCTAAAGTGTAAACCTTTTAACTACACATTAGGTTGTTTAACCTTAAACCTAAAATATACATAATATAAGTTATGCCCTAATGCCTGTATCAGAAATATATAACTCTCTCTGGGTAAACGAGATGTTTATTCAAAATGTACTGAATATACAGCATAAAACAAAAGAGACAGATGGGCAGCTGTGCAATACTCTTTTACACAGACATACGTTTGGTTTTACCCAACTCTTGACTTTACATCAAAACCCGTAATGAATAAATCATGCACTCAATCAGTGCTGGAATAGCACATTTAATGGTTTTATAGAACCATTCCTTAAATTATATATCCGTTATCAGAAGTTACTTAGCCTACCTGTGTGACAGCTGCGTCTCATTTCAGCCAGTATATTACATTATTACTGAGTCCAACATGTCGTTGTTGGGCAGCGAATTCACGAATACAAATTTCGTCAGTGGCTAGCTCATGAATATTAATTAGGTTATGGTCACGTTGCTCGGTAACCTTCCTGAAACGTCAAGTGACGTAATTAATATTCATAAGCCAAGCAAAGGTGAAGCTCGAGAATGTCTGTACTCTTTCTGATAAGGCGAGAGAACATGTAGCAATTATATTTTTCGCCGAAAGCAATGTGTAGAAAAAAAAGAATGAAAAAGTAAAAGGACATTGAAAGTAATCATGTAATAACAGTAGGGCCTCTTCGCCCGGTTCTTTCATGTATCTGTGAAAGCTGCAGGGCAATGGTGACGAGCTCCGCCAGCGCCACCTGTGAAAAAAAAAAAAACTTATTACAATAAACATTTTATAGTTCATTTTAAATGTTATATGATAAGCAAGACCTGGGTATGAATTTTAGAAACAAGTCATCATTTACCTGTGGGTCCTGAAAGAGCTTGCTTATATCTTTCTCAAAACTGTCGATATACAGGCGAACTGTGGCTCCGAAACTATCGGTCCCACTAAGACGAAAGATTATGCGAGAACCTCCTTTAAAAATGATCCGCAAACCCTACAGGGAATGTTTACATGTTCTTAATATTTATGTTGTAATGTTATACAATTCATTACAGACATTAATAACAGTATCCCTATTCCCTGCCTCCTTTGTCAGAGATATCTTCCCCTTAAACAAGTTAAGCGGTAAGTCGCCCAACACCCGGTTTCATTGGTCAACTTAATCCACGTGGCCTGTGGAAAAGTTTAGACAAAAACAATGCAAAAACTAATTTATTTATTCAATTAATGCTTTAGAAGATGTAAAATAAAGGTAAAATGTATTTAAATAGATAAAAATGTTGAGTTAAAAAAAAAAAAAGATGTAGGCTATGTATAGAGAAACTAAATATTTTCTAAATAATATTTTACACTTTTATAATACATATATTTTTATAGTATAAATTGGGACAATACATATATAGCTGTCTGGAAAAGGTTTTCGTGTATAGACACGAAACATTCCCCATTCACACGGATCCACGAAAACTATTTCAAAATGCCATATTCTGCTTCCAGGCCAGTAGTTGGCGATGTCACTTTGTAAAGAAACACTACGCTCATAGACTGAACCAAGGGGGTAATCCATCGACCGGAAGTTGAAGCCGGCCGGGTGCCGCCATGTTGTAGCAGAACTTCACTTGCGTTAGCATTTCCATTGACTCCCATTCATTTTTGCGTCACTTTGACAGCGAATAACTTTACATCTGAGGCGTTTAAAGACTCCATTTGTCCATTATTTATTTCTAAAGAAACACGACAATGTATAAAGGGCTCCATTACCTTCTATGTTACACTATGGCCCCGTAGAAACAGATTTAGTAAAAATAGGCTAACGATTGCGTCATAACCACTCGACTCTCTGTCGCGCTGTACAGAAATTACCGTACAGAGAGGAGGAGAAGCTCGCAGGCAATCGGGGGGACGTCCCGTCAAGGGAGAAGCCCATAGATAATGAGTCCATAAAAGCAACGGAATTCTTACTCCTGCTCACTCACGCCAAAGAACTCTTTGCTCAAGTTCCCCGTCTCTGCAAGATTAACGTTGGCAGTTTTCACGCACAGCTACTAGAAGATTAACGTCTGTCAGACAGGTTGCTCACGTCATCAAGCTTAGTTTGAGTCGGTCTGAGTCTGCGCGTCAGGAACGGAAGTTCTCAAAAATCGCTAAAAGTGGGCTTCAACTGTCTCAACTGAGTTCCAATGAGATCGCTCTGTCCATTTCTTTTACTGTCTATGGACTGAACATGTAATAGGTTTTCACAAATTCTCTTTTTTGTAGTTTACACTGAGACGATAACGATAGTTTTCAAAAACTTGCACTTTGAACCTTGTTTTTAAAAAATGTGTGTTTTCAGGCCCCCAAAAATGCTGTTGTCATATAAATGAACGGCTAAAACACATTAAGAAGTTTTCAGTTTTTGCGTAAACTTCCCCTAAAAGATAGAAAACCCCAGATGTAGACAATCAGCACTGTCATTGACCAATGAAATCGTTAGAATCGGCTACTGGGCGGAGTTAGCACTTAACTGGTTTGGGGGAAGGAAATTAAGGTTCTTTTGTCAAAATGACATGTTGATATTTCATGTTAACATTTTATGCGGTTCCATTAATCTTTCTGCAATGAGTCTCAATAAATAGCTTAATAGCTTTTAATAACAATTAAATGGCTAAATGTATGCTTTTTTGGTGTCTTTACTTGTATAATAAATATGGAGAATTTACTATAAAACAGTACCTGATTTCTTGAAATGGTTCCATCCACAGGGTCACTGTACTCAAAATTGTCTGCCACCTCCACTTGGTATTTCTTTTCCCCCACAGCAAACACTTGTCCAATGAATGCCTTGTCTGAAACCACCAGCTCAAGATCTAACATCATCTCCACAGCCGCATCTAAATCCACCGCCTCATAATCAAATCTGTCATGTGTACATATGTCATCAATATGAAATGTCTCACTAGACTGTATACTGTATGTAGAAGTGGTCTTTTACTGATAGTACACCTGGTGTAGTAGTTCCTCCCGTAGGTTCTCCAGTGGTCTGTCATAATGTCTTCTACACTTTGCCTCCTCACCGCTAGGATGGACAGCCATGCTAGCACTGCCCAAAGCCCATCCTTCTCCCGGATATAATCTGAACCTATCAAGAAGATGTAGCAAATTTAATCATATCTTTGTTGCCACATTTTTTGTTGTGGGTGATTCTTCAACTTCAACTAATCAATTTTTTTCTAAAGTTACTTTACTTGTTTACAATGTCAGTGATGAGCATATGATGAAAAATAAAACAAGTTTGAAGAAACATTTGGGTTTACCAAATAACTTTTCAGTGAACAGTTCTTCAACTAACTTTTTTTGTGAAGAACAATTAAATAACCTGAATAACCTTTTGTACAATAGAAAGGTTCCATGGATGTAAAAAAATCTTCATGTGCCACACTATTAGTGTTACTGTTTGAGCATGAAAAAGGTCTGCAAAGTTACAAAGCACACATTCCCTATTCTCTATATCAGTAAATGACAATGACTCTCTGAAACAAAGCCAAATATGAGAAAAAAAATAATGTTTTTTGAACATTCAAGCATGAAAACCTATTCAAGTATACCCCAAAAACTTTTGGAAAAGGGCATTATAGGTCGAGATGTTATTGTCTGCATTGCCAAAAGTGTCCATGATTGAAGAAAAAAAAACATTTCTTATTATATATTTGTCTTTAAATGTCTTGGTACTGTACATTCATTACCTGTGCCAAAACTTTCCTCCCCACACAGCGAGAGACGTCCTGCGTCCATCAAGCTCCCAAAAAATTTCCAACCGGTTGGAGTCTCGTATAGTTGGATCTTGGTGGCCCTGGCCACCCTGCATAGAAGCGCAGAGTGAGTCGAGATGCAGATGATCCTGGTAAGTGAACATCTTTAATAATGTGAAACATTTAGGAGTAATATTCACATGTCTAGAGCTGCACTGGTGGGCATACTCCTAGCAAAGCCTCTTATTCCTGTGTGCTGGAAGTAAGGAATGCAGAAGATGTTTGCAGCAATGACGGCAACTGAGTCGGAGGGATTTACAAAGAAGCCATGCTTCCCAAGGATCATATTACGGTCCTAGAAAGAGAGAGAGAGAGAGAGAGCGAGACTGGGTCAGGAGGGGGTCAAGAAAATGTTAAACTGACTGTCACTTGAGCACTTTTGCTTGGGTCAAAACGGTTGTATAGCAAGGTCGTGATGTCTCAACACCTACACCGTCACCATCAAAAGCAGCTCCAAAGTCATACTGTCCACTCTTCATTGTCTCAACAAGGTCTGCGCCATAGGTCAAGTTGGGGTCTGGGTGGCAACCTCCAAAGTTTTCCAGAGGTACACAGTTAATGGCTGAATTCGCAGGGGAGCCCAGCTCCTCACACAGGATCTTCTTCACATACGGCCCAATCACTGTGGAACCAATAGAGGTTCAATAACAAAAGTTCAGAATCAGACGTTTTAATGAGACACAAGACCAAGTTGTACATATAATGATTCATACTGAGAGCCATCCTTTCTTTACCTGTTAAAACATTTTCATTGATTCAATTTGAATAAACTCGCCGAAGGAATGCTCTGGGTTCAATACAATTTAAACTGCATCTACAGAAACCAGACTTAAAACAAGCAAACATTGCATTTACAGTAATGCAATTGCAATGGACGTCATCCAAAGATTCCTATAATTTCAAGGGACTCATCAATGTGGTATGGAGTTACTCCTTGAAAGAGGAGAGCTGTGCCTGCTTTTAATATTATGTCAGATGGCTTGTCTTAATCATTCAGATCACAGCATGTATATGGAAACTCAATCTCACAGAGAAGTGGGGAGCAGTGCAAGTCTAATCTCATTCCAATCCAACTGGCATACATGGAAGCATCTTCGGCCCATTAAGTAGATGCAGCTGCTACTCTAAATGCTCTTATCAAAATGTGGAAAATTAACTTGATGAAGCGTTGGCTATGGTGGTAACTCAATTGAGTTACCAAATGGCTAGATCAGTCTGTTTCTATATCCGTGGAAAGAAACATGGTTCCTCACCTCCATGCATGGCATCTAAACGGATTTGTATGTGATTGTCTCCTGATAGTAACTCCTTCAGAATGGCAAAATCGAAGATGTTCCTCAGAGAGTTGGCATAGGATTCAACTGGATCCACAATTTCTACTGCGTGACAGAAAATATCGACAGGACATTCTGTTTATTTTTTATGCCATTCTTTTGAATCAACAGCTCAGCAGTTGTGTTGCAAATGTTTTCACCTGTAAAAGGTTTGAATTTGTTCTCCAGGTCGAAGGATTGCTTGCCAATAGTCCCTAGATCAACTCTGAGTTCAGGACAGATGGCATATTCCTCTATGATTCTGCTCATTTGGAAGACTTTATTTGTGACAGCCTCTGGTGCTGGACCTGCATTGAAGATTTACAATGATAACGCAAAAAAAAAAAAAACTTCAGAATCACATGTGAGCTATTTTACCTCCATTGGCAGTATTAAATTTGATGCAGAAGTCTCCGTCAGGTCCTCCAGGGTTGTGACTGGCAGTAAGAATAATCCCACCTATGGCTTTAATCTTCCTGATCACGCACGACACAGCCGGCGTCGACATGATGCCATTCTGACCAATCACAATACGACCCACCTAAGAAATTCATCAGCCCCATTGAATTAAACACTATTTGTTACTGATCATCATGTACAAATTTCAACTGGACCAACGTCATATGAGAAATTATAGAGTGTTAATGTGTTTACTGTAAAAAGTTAATAGAGCAAAAACTAGATAAATTAGCCAATGTTCTGAGAATGTTCCATAGCTGGATCTGTACTACCTACCATTTGTGTCAAGAATATGCACTGTAAAAAATTATGCAGGAGGGTGTTAAATACAACCTGTGCAAATCAGTTATATTTTACTTAAGTATATTAGTTAGCAAGTAAAATATATAAAAATGAGTACATTCTAACTACACTACCTATTTATTAAAAGTAATATCTGCAACCTTAAAAGAATGAGTAAAACATACCCCATTATATTAGTTCAGTGGTCACAAATTGCGCATGCGCCAACTTCAACGTCCATGCGGGAATCACGGAATTCAAATTCAACGTCTTCCAGCGAGATGACGAAGTGTTGAGCTCTAGGTAAGTTTATTTTGTTTGTTTGTTGTTGTTTATCGTGTTGATATAATATAACGCAAATGTTAACTTATTTAATAGTCAAATTTACCAAAAGATTTGTAATTTGCTCGCTTCTGTGTTCTGTTATCCTTTCGGCGCCACACCCATAGCTGATGATATCTAACGTTAACGTTAGTCTGAGGTTGGTCGATTTCGCGTTGATAGCTAAGTTACAGGGTCTTATACACCTGCAAATGCGAGTAAAAATCTACATTTATGAGTAAAATATTCGCTTCCATATGCCATTAGTGTTATGTACATGGCTGAAATTAGTGAACACAACAGAGTCGCAGCGCGCAATGCGTCTGTAAGTTACAGAGAGAGACTGTTGACGTTCTGAGGACAGGGTAACGTTAACGTAGAGAAAATAATAATAGCAGTAAAACTGTTAACGTTAATGTGGTTTCCTTGCATTTATATGATGATATGTGTGTTAGAAGGGATCAAATTATAAAGTAGGCCTACTTTTGTTTTTGTTTATTATTGACGGATATGATAATTATTGTGTGCCTTTCTGTTGGGTTCTTTCATTTAATGTTGGCCCTATGTCAAAAACGGTTTGGTGTTAATATATTTGGGTAATTTGTTAATTTTTTTCGTATGCATGGTTTCGCGATGTGCTTAATTTGTTATCCATATCCTCCTTTACAAATATTTAACGTACACAAAATTGTTCATATATTATGCTAGCATATCACCTAACTTTAACTGCTGCTCTCCTCTTTTGATTTTGCATCATGCAGATGTAATTGTGCATCATGTAAAAGCAGTCTTGTTGTTTTTTAAGCAAGCTTACATTGATTTAAGCCTAAATGCAGTTAATTTATGTCTTGATTAAATCTATAATCAAAAATGTATAATTAAAAAATGTCTTACTTTGTTTCTTCCACAGAAAGATCTTCATGAAAACAGTTGAAGACCGTGCAAGAAGAATTATAAGTTCAACCACAGAATGTTTCATCCCATGAAGGCGTTTATTTTGAATGGGAAGTGTTGAAGAAGTTTTATAACGTAGGCTAAGTGGTAAAACTTTACAATAAGGTTTCATTTGTTAGCATTAGTTAATGCATTAATTAAGATGGACTATTAATGAGCAATACAGTATTTATTAATCTTTACTAATCTACAGTCATTCATTGTTCATATTAGTTCTCAGTGCATTAACTAATGTTAAAAATTAAAACTTTTTATTATAATAATTTATTGGTAAATGCTGTAGAAGTGTTGTTCATTCTTCGTTCATGTTAACTAAAGTAGTTAGAGTGATAGTTCACCCAAAAATGAAAGTTATGACATAAATTACTCACATTCATGTCGTTTTAAACCTGTAAGACCTTCTTTTATCTTCAGAACACAAATAAAGATATTTTTAATAAAATCTGAGATTTCTCTCTCCCTCCATTGACACATTAAGCGGTTTAGTTCAAATTGTCTGAAGATAGACAATCATTTTATATGACAAACATATTACATTTAGGCTTTTATTCACATAAACATTGATCAGCGAACAAACAGAAGCTCATTGGTTCTTGCTGAAGCTCAAACATGCTGCGTAACACGAGAATTAACCTCATTGGTTCTCGCAGATCAAGGGAACATGTTTTAGCTTCCGTTTACCATAACTGATGTGGGAGTTGATTAATGTTAATATGTTAATAAAAGCCTAAATGTAATCTGTTCATCACAAGTGATTGTCTTTCTTCAGAACATTTTTACGATCTCTTTATGAACTTTTTGAAGCTTCAAAGTGGTACAGTAGTTGTGTAGACTGCAAATGGAGGGACAGAAATATCTCAGATTTCATCAAAAAGATCTTTATTTGTGAATGAAATTATTATGGGTTTGGAACAACATGAAGGTGAGTAGCCTAAGTGATGACAGAATTTTAATTTTTGGGTGAACTAACCATTTAACCATGTTAACTAATGAAACCTTATTGTAAAGTGTTATCACGTGAGTGATATTAAGTTGTATGTCGCTTAAAATTTAATGTTGAATAATGGTTATTTTTTATTAATTTGTGTTAAGTTTATAAAAAAATTAAATGTTTGTTTGTATCCATATAGCATGTCAGTCCTTTGAGGTAAATGAGATCAGCCTCTGCTCTTATTATAGATCCACCACCACACATTACATCAAATTGTGTATTTCTTTGTGTTTGAAATAACAAAATGTGTGAGAAATTTAAGACTGTTGCTTTTAATGTATATTCTGACTTCCCATTATTTTTAAATGGACAGTGTTGAAGAAGTTGTATGTAATGTGAGTCATATTAATGTAAGAGGACTCTTTTGTAGTTCCTTTGTTAGTTTGAAATGTTTGTTTTTTGGTCAATAAAAAGTAATACATGAGCTATCCTGTGTCTGGCCATTTTTAGGTAAATTTAACCATCTCTGAATAAGTAATGTTTAATTATTTCTATTGACTTATTATTATTAATAAAAATTAAGTAGATGGACTTTTGCCTGCTAACAATAGAGTAATTATTACTCAGTAATTAGCTGTGTATCGTATTGAAAAATATTAGGTAGACTTTACCTAATTTTGTTTAGTATGTCATAGCCATTAAATGTAGGTACACTTTATTCAAAAATATGGGATGAAATCTACCCAAACAAAGTGAGTGCAAATTGTTACCTCAATTTTATTGGGTAGATTCTATAGGTTTGTTTTTACAGTGTGGAAAGTGGAAAATATGGAATCCCTGAAAAGTGGTCAGCAATAAACCAGCTATCTATTTGATATTTATTTCCTCGCACTGCTTATGTTGAAAATGTACTCTATTAGAGGTAATGTACTCTATTTGGAGACCTACAGTATTTGTTGCCATCAAACTACAAGAGTATAAAGTAGGCCTATAATATACTACAAAAGATACAGTGCAGGAGTCATGATGCATCTGGGAAGAGAGCCAGGTGTCTATAACGATAACCTGGATGAGATTTAGAAACATATAGTGGTTCCTCATAATAAAACAACTGTAAGAATTGCAACTAACCCCATTAGCAGCAGCCATCTGCACTATGACCTGAATTGCAGTCGAATTGAAGTAGCGTCCATCTCCACCCACCACCACAGTGGAGCCCTGCCTGTCCCGCAGGTCGATGGAGGAGAAGATGCACTGAATGAAGTTGTGCAAGTAGTTCTTTTTAGACTGGAAAATATGGACCTTCTTCCTCAGGCCACTGGTTCCAGGCCTCTGGTCGGGGTACGGAGAAGTAGGCAACGTCAGCACTTGCAAGGGACTATCGTTCATTGCTCCAAACCGTTGAGGAAGACTAAAGGAGAAGCTGTTATCTCCTCGCAGAGGAGAGAGAGAGAGTGACGGGAGGAGAAGGAGGAAAAGCCTTGTGCCCTTATGCATTCCCGAGAGTTGGATTGAGGCTGTTAACGGGCTAAAATTAAACTTGGTAACTGAAGACGGCTTCTCACACATGTGCATGGGCATCACTGTCAGATTCTCTTGCCTCCAAAGGCCTATTGAGGCAGATGGATAAGACAGCCAACAAGGGCTCATTCATGTGCACTATTTGCCCAGGCATTTACTCAGAGGCTAAATAGAGCTGATTCTGAGTGAATAAGCCCAGGGTGATCTGGCTGTAAACACTAAATGGGTTGTTTTGACATATTCTAAATCTCCCAGGATCATTCAAGATTCGAGCAGCTAATGAAAAACATGCCATATCGTTGGACAGTCAGGGTTTGGGGACAGTCAGGGGGGTTTGGGTATTAACTGCAGCATGTCTAAGATCCTTATGGATGAAATTACTGCGTTGATGTGTTGATTATAACAGATGGTTTAGCTGGCTCCAAAATAAACTGAATAAAAAAAGACCCAGGGTAAGTCCTTACTGCAACAAGACCAGGGCAATTGGGGTAGAAAGAAAGGAAAATCCTTTAAGATCCAGGCAAGTTGCGAGGTGAGGACACCATGGATCGGATTTGTTTGTCCAGCATAATCGGATTGAGATCTAGGGAATTATTGTCATATGTCTCAAACTATTCCTGAACAATTTTTGAAGTGTGGGAGGGTGCATTATCCTGCTGAAAGAGGCCAGTGCCATCAGGGAACATTGCCATCAAGGGTGTGCGTGGTCTGCAGAAATCTAGGTAGGTGGTACATGTCAAAGTAACATCCACATGAATGCCAGGACGCAGGGTTTCCCAGCAGAACATTTCCCAGAGTGCAACACTGATTCCCTTCACCTCCCTTCTTCCCATAGCAGATGCCATCTCTTCCCCAGGTAAACAATGCACACGCACCCGGCCATACACCCAATTTCTCTAAAATAAAACCTGATTCTTCAGACCAGGCAACCTTCATTTAGCCTGGTTAAAACCAGACCATTCTCAGTTGTAACTGAGTTATGGTCTGGCAAAGCGTCATAGACAAATCATTTCCAGAGGGGCGTCACCAACGGACGTCACGGATAGACCTAAAACCAATCAGAGCGTTGAAGGAGATGACGTATGCAGAGCGGCGGTTGTTCTTTGCTCGGTTTTTAACAAAAAGGAAACGTTCAAATCGCTTAAAACAGACGCGATAGCGGATTCAAACGAGTGATGTTCGACGGCGGCATCCATCTTTGTAATGTAGGCTACAAAATCTGCTTCAAAATCCCAGCGCTGTCGTCATCGTGTAAAGCCCGCCCCAACGTTTCTGATTGGTGCCGCGATTTCGACGGATTGGAAATGGGCTTGAATGAGCTCTTTGCCAGACTAACTTTCAGAGCAAATCTAAATTTGCCGGAAGTTGTTTGGGTTTTCCAAGGCTAATCTTCATCCATTGCTCTAAAATAAAGGAATTAAAGTTCTGACTCTCACTTGCTCCTCGTAGGTGCTTTCGGCGGTGGACAGGAGTCAACATGGGCACTCTGACCAGCTTGCGGCTATCTATTGACATTTGCAGTAAACTGTGATGCACTGTGTGTTCTGACACCTTTCTATCATGGGCTGCATAAAGTTTTTCAGCAATTTGAGCTACAGTAGCTCTTTTGTGTTATCGGACCAGACGGACTTGCCTTCGCTACCCATGTGCATCAGTGAGCCATGGGCTCCCCCTGATGTCGGTTCACTGGTTGTCCTTCCTTGCCCCACTTTAGGTTGGTACTAACCACTGCATCCCGGGAGGTCACTGTGATTATGCCAAGTAAAGCCGCGTTTCCACCGCAGGAACTTTCGGGGGGTGGGACTTGGGCACTGAACATGCTGATTTGTTGAGTTCACGCAGAATTTTGATTGATTGACTCCACGCAGCATTTTATTTTAACCACCATTATGAAAAGTCTGTTGCGGTGCGTGCAGTAAGAGTTTGCTTTGTTTGCTATTCGAATCAACAATGGAGTTTAAAAATACGACCGATGGGCCGACAACGAGGTTCAGGCTTTATTAAGCTTATATGCAGAGGACGAAATCCAGTGGGAACTGGAAAGCCGTGCACAGTCCTACGTCATCTGACTAATTTTCGCATTACTTTAGACTGCGATGGAAACGCAGACGGCAACAGGTCTGGTTGGAGTTCCTGGGACAATTTCCTGGGAGTTACGGGTAAATTCGGTGGAAACGTGGCTTAAGACATATTTTGTAGTTCCTGGAATAACATTCTTATCTGGAAATGTAGTCCTAACCATATCCCTGACCTAACTCTACTCATATCTTATCAGAGGGGATTGATAGATGCATAACACTGCTGTAGAAGCACCTAACCCTGGTTGTAAGCCTAAACTTGACATAAACTTTAAACTTGTCCCTCAAATCTGATTGGTTGATTGGAATGTTGTTCCAAGATCAACAAAGATGCTGATGCAGGAACATGTTGTACCTGCACGTTCACCTATACAGTCAACACAAGACTTACTTTTTACCCCTGCTTCCAACATATGAAATTCAAGAACTGACTGTTCACTTGCTGCCAAATAAATCCTACCCCTTTTAACCATTTTAAGCATATAATCAATGTTACTCTCTTCATCTGTCAGTGGTTTTAATGTTGTGTGTGGCTGATCAGTGTATTTATTATTTTAACAAACTTTAATTAAAAAATGACTGCAATTATGGACAATGCTCAGTAGAGGGCAATGCTGCATCAGCTACGGAAGTCCTTGCCCCCTCTCTCTCTCTCTCTCTCTCTCTCTCTCTCTCTCTCTCTCTCTCTCTCTCTCTCTCTCTCTCTCTCTCTCTCTCTCTCTCTCTCTCTCTCTCTCTCTCTCTCTCTCTCTCTCTCTCTCTCTCTCTCTCTCTCTCTCTCTCTCTCTCTCTCTCTCTCTCTCTCTCTCTCTCTCTCTCACTCCCTTAACTTCCCCTCTCCCCCCTCTCCCCTCTCCACTCTCTCTCCTCTCCTCTCCCCTCCCCCTCTCTCCTTATTATTGTGTGGTTTCCACAGATTTACTTGCTGTCATTTAGGCTATATATTTTTTGTATACATAAGATGTTAAAAAACAGCAAATGAAAACATTTTTTAAATATAATTGCATTTAATGTTAATACAATTATATATATATATATATATATATATATATATATATAAGAGAATATATATTGAAATGTAGTTCAAAAATAGCAAATGACAGTCAACATGACATTCAAGCACATGGATGAAACTGGCTTTCAGAAGGTTAAATGAGAGGTTTCCTGGTTGGACTGATTGCAATGTAATTAAGATGACTGGTGGAGAAACTGAATCATATGTCCAGTGGCCTAATCATAGTGTAAATGTCCCATTTTTACTGCAGCATACTTGATATGTTTATACTCAACAAACTTTGTCATGTCCATTAAAAAGTTATTTTGTAAAAAAAAATAGTATTCAGTTGTTCAACATGAATGTGTATTGGAGCTCTGATAATCCCATGTGTTTCTGCACATACTGTTGATACTAAGGGGTTTGTGGCTTTGTGAGATGACTAATGGAGATTTTTGAGGCCTTGAAGATGGTGGTTCCCCTGCCAGGTTTCCAGTGGGTTCCCTTTTTACGAGGTCTGCTCTGAATACACTTGCCATTCAGGTTAATGTCGCCGCAAATGCTAAACCACCACCCACCTAAAGGAAACAGCAGCAGTCGTGTACAAAATTACACATTTAATTCGCAATTTCCATGCACACAAAAGCATATTATGCACACAAAAAAACACACAGGGTTTTTCTCAAAATAGGCTCTTTAGGCACAGGAACAGGAAAAGCAGTACTTGATATATTAATTTTGCTCAATGAAAAAGGCATGAAAGCCCAGCTAACAGGGAACATTCACAGAACGTTCTCTCAAAGTTATAAACAAACGTTCTTCCAGTAACGCTAATGGAACAATCGTTCAAAGTTATCTGGTCTTTAATAATATTCTTAACAAAAAACATTATTTATACTGTACTGTGCATAGTTCAGGGAACTTTTTGTCTTGAAACGTTTTGGTTGTTCATCTAACATTTCTTAAATTTGCAGCTACTACTTGTACGTTCCAATAGTTTGCAAAATTATAAAACAGAATGTTTCCTTAACATTTGTACAACCATGAAAAAAACCTTTTAAAAACTGGACATTTTGAACTTTCAAGCATTTTCATAACTTAATGGGAACGTTAGCAAGATGTTCTTGGAACATATTATGTTAGCTGCAAATGATGGCATGTACTGTACCTGTGTAGTCTTGGGTACAGTTTGGATGCTGGTTTCCATCGTTGTGGTCTTTAGTGGAGAACCTGAATCCAGTGTGTTCGTCCACAGCAGAGCTGGACTCAGCCGACTGCAGCTTCAGATGGATGGTGTAGTTGGAGGCAGCGTCCTCCAGGATATACTGATAAACTATGAAATGCTTCTGCTTCCCCCAGTCCTCTATCTGGACGTGCAGGAGAGATTGTCCCTGACGGGCAACAGCATAGATCTTCTTCAGCCCCAGCCAGAACTCACCTATCAAACAGACATCTGAGACATCAGCTCTCTGTATAGTGTTATAAATTATTACTATAGGCATTATTTCACATTTTTACATATTAACATCACTCGTTTTAATAATGCTACAGTTTAGATATATAAAATGATTAAAAATAAAATTATTATTATTATTAAATGTATATCAGCCAAGTTGCATGCAACCATATTAATTAGTAAAATTTTGCTCTTGTAATGAAAATTATGCTTTCACGGTATGTGAAGTTTTGTTTCCCTGAGATGTATTAGCCATGTATTTGTCAGGGATGGAACTGGACTCAGACAGGTGGTAAGTGAAGTAGTTTATTAAACAGGTTTTGCAGAAGCAGTCAGAGGTATGATGAGTATGAAGACAGATGATACTTGAATGGTAACTTAACTGAAGATTAACTAGAGTCTCTTTTGCAGATGCAGGTGAAGGATCCCGGGGACGGATGCAGACGAATGGCTGAAGACTGAAGACGAGTACTGAAGGCAAGGTTTGCATAAAGTCCACAGGAAGGCAGGTAAGTAGTGTTGAAGAGTCTGTGTGTCACGTAGCGACGAGATCAGACCCAGAAGTGAGGGGAAAGAGACACTTTATGGGCCTGATGATGGGAAACAGGTGAAGGTGATCAGTGATTGTAGAGTGCCTGCAGGTGTGGGCCAGGGAGGATGATGGGACTTGGACTGAAGAGGAGGAGCTTAGGTGGTGACTGTGACAGTACTCCCCCCTCCCGGGAGGCGCGACCTCGCGCCGTAAAGGAGATGGAGGAGGTTTGGGAGGAAGCGGAGCAGGCGACGGGCTGGAAACAGGGCTAGGCACAGGGCTGAAGACAGGCAGGTACCAGGCAGAAGGAAGACTAGACAGACTGACGAGCCATGGTGGAGCCGATGGAGGGAGGAGCCACGGAGGCTGAAGGGCAAGGGGTTTGGTGGCGATGACAGACAGAGGCGGAACCGATGACAGGGAATGACAGGGAGAAGACGGAAGTTTGTTAGGACACGGTGGAGCAGAGGGTTCAGAGTGACCGGGGGAATCCGCAGGCTCAGGCGACCAAAGTGTAGCTGGGGGTACTGAAGGGCGCGGTGGAGACAGAGGGACTGAGGACAAAGGATGAGCAGAAGGGAGAGAGGAGTCCAAGGGAGCCGGGGGGGTGAAGGGACGAGGCGAAGCCAGAGGAGAGAAGTCCAGAGGCGAGGGAAGGTCGACAAGGGACCCAAGCGAATCCGGGGGGACGAGGGAGCCTGGCGGAACTGGTGAACTGAAGGACCACGGTGGAGCTGAGGGAGGTAAGAGCCAAGGGTGAGACAGTGGAGTGATGGGCCGATGTGGAATCCTGGACGAAGCAGCTGAAGGCGGACCCCAGGAATCCACAGTCCAGGATGATGCTGGGGACTGGAAGCCCCACAGCGAGCCCACTAATCCACTGAATTCTAGAGGGTGAGTGACAGGGCTGACAGGAGGCAGAGGAGATGAGGAAGGCTGAAGACAGACGAGAGGAGGCGGGAGAGGGAGGCTGGGTGGGACTTCATAGACAGACTGGGGAACAGAATTTTCAGGTTCGACGGACCAGGCAGGAGGCGCTGGCTCAGGACTGGCCAGAACCAGCGGGTATCGCTCGGGACTGGACGGAACCAGCGGCGAAGGAAGCTCTGGGCTGGACGGGACCAGCGGCGAAGGAAGCTCTGGGCTGGATGGGACCAGCGGCGAAGGAAGCTCGGTGCTGGACGGAACCAGCGGCGAAGAGGGCTGGACGGTCTCTGGCTGGACGGTCTCTGGCTGGACGGTCTCCGGCTGGACGGTCTCCGGCTGGACGGTCTCCGGCTGGACGGTCTCCGGCTGGACGGTCTCCGGCTGGACGTGAAGCGCTGGCTGGACGTGGCTGACGTGAAGCTCTGGCTGGACGTGGCTGACGTGAAGCTCTGGCTGGACGTGGCTGACGTGAAGCTCTGGCTGGACGTGGCTGATGTGAAGCTCTGGCTGGACGTGGCTGACGTGAAGCTCTGGCTGGACGTGGCTGACGTGAAGCTCTGGCTGGACGTGGCTGACGTGAAGCTCTGGCTGTGAGATGGCATACTGAGGGATAAAGGACTTCAGGCATCGATTGATCGCGTCTTTCCAGTCCAGACCGGTCAGATCTGGAAGCTCCCTCAGATTGATTTGTCTAGCCCCCCTCCGGTAACATGCCTTGATTGCTTCACTGTCTAGGGTGCTGGTGGCGACAAGCAGAACAAACCTTTCTGTGTACTCAAACAGATTTAAGCTCTGCTGAGCCGCCGCCGCGATATGACCAGCTAGTTCCCAACTCATCTTCGGGTCTCCGCTGGATTCACTATTGTAGGTCTGATCTTCTGTCAGGGATGGAACTGGACTCAGACAGGTGGTAAGTGAAGTAGTTTATTAAACAGGTTTTGCAGAAGCAGTCAGAGGTATGATGAGTATGAAGACAGATGATACTTGAATGGTAACTTAACTGAAGATTAACTAGAGTCTCTTTTGCAGATGCAGGTGAAGGATCCCGGGGACGGATGCAGACGAATGGCTGAAGACTGAAGACGAGTACTGAAGGCAAGGTTTGCATAAAGTCCACAGGAAGGCAGGTAAGTAGTGTTGAAGAGTCTGTGTGTCACGTAGCGACGAGATCAGACCCAGAAGTGAGGGGAAAGAGACACTTTATGGGCCTGATGATGGGAAACAGGTGAAGGTGATCAGTGATTGTAGAGTGCCTGCAGGTGTGGGCCAGGGAGGATGATGGGACTTGGAGTGAAGAGGAGGAGCTTAGGTGGTGACTGTGACAGTATTATTCTGAGAAAATGCTGAATATGTCTTTGCCACTCACTTTTTTTCAATGTTATGATCTTTCTGACACCATTTTTGTTGGTAATTTTAATCATGTTTTAAACAAGAATAAGCTTACACTGAAATTTACTATAGGATTTACTTTGAAACCATTTTGTGCAATTTTGAAGTAGAAAGACTTGAAATAGTATTTTTTGTAAAACATGCTCCAATAATCTTTGTTTTATTCGCAACTTCAAAAACGTATTATTATTATTTTCAGTGTATATACAGTTAGAGTTACATTGGTTGGTCAAGCTCAATATTTCAACTTTGTAAGGGAAAAAAAATAATCAGATTTTTTTTTTTTTTTTTTTTTACAGATTTTCGTTTTCAGTTTTATAGTTTTTTTAAAGATCCAATAGTTTTCCGTTGACCTTCAAACCCTTATTTTACATTTTATGACTGACACAAAATATTTTATAAAACACATTTTAGAATATTTATATTTATTTTTGTAAGTAATTTGCCCACTACCAGAAATGTTCAAATCTATTCAAATGAAATAAAGTATATGAATTTCAAACACACAATATTGCTGCCTTATATTTTTAAGTACAATCAACTTGGCTGTGTAAGTCATTTCAACTTAAAGTACATTAAACTGCCTTGAAAAATTAGTTGATTCTTGTACTTTATAACTTATAAAAACGTTGAAAATTGCTTAACTTATTTTGATGAGTTAAATCAATGTTGAAATATATGTTGTCATCACTTATTGATCATATAATTTTTTAGCGTGCGCTGTGACACAAGGCTGTATCCACATGCATGACACTATTTTTCTTCAGTAAGTATTCTAAAATATATTATGCCTGGATTTCTCATGAGAACAGATTAGGACAAGGAAGGCAACATCATAAAAGTGGAATGGTCAAATTGCACATACTGTGAAATTATGTTGTAAAAAGTGATACTAAAAGTAGAATGTCAAGATGTCAGACTTTCTCAACACCAAACACACATTGTGCTCCACATATAATCACAGACTGAACACATTTACTCAAGTTTATGAGCACAACATCCTTGATTTAACTCACTGCTGAAGTCTCCAAATCCATCTTCATACTTCTCCCAGGACTGGTCAAAGTCCACAGAGCCGTCATGTCTGCGCTGGATGACAGTGAACACCCCCTCTGTAGAAGACAGATGCCATATAGTCATCTCAAAGTTAGATGAGTCCTATGTTGTTGTTGTTGTTGTTGAAGGGAAACACCTCTGGCTGTTTTTTAAGAATTCAGAGATGTGAGAAAGAAATATGCTTTATTCTTACCCTCGGTGAATTCACAATTCACAAGAAAGGGTTTTGACTCGTGTGGTTTAATAGCATACAGGCCGCTGGATTTCTGTCCTCGGTTGAAGACCTCCCCGCAGTCTTTTGGAAGATCTGCAACACAACGTGACATGCTGGTGTGTAACTGAACAGATGCAGTAACATTTTTCAAAGCCATTCATTCCTGCCTCCCCTACCGCTTGAGAAGCTCCCATCGGATGTGATGTACGGCAGGTATCCTGAGAGGCTGTTGGTTTGGCGGTTCCTTAAGTTTTCAGCAGTTTCCTGGATGCTGAGCTAGATAGCAATTTTGAAAACACAGTTTTACTCAAAAACTTCATAGTCTATTCACACCAAGGACAGTAGTTACAATAACTATGAAGTTTTAATAATCATTCAAAATCTATGAGAATAGCTGTCAACAGTGCAGAGGAACAATATTGTTGGAATCACTTTCAAAACGATTTTTTTCCATCTCATGAACAATAAAAACATTAGCAGCCAATCAGAATCCATTATGCTTTCAAGAGCTAGAGCATTTAAAGTCACCATGAAATCAAAATGGACAATTCTTATTTTTTATGGGATATTGGGTAACACTTTATTTTGATGGTCCCTTTTGAACATTCTGTTGACTGTAAGTAACTTTGCAACTACATGTCAACTTACCTCTCATTAGACTATCAGTAGACTGTCTGCTTAATATCTGCCAACTCTATTGTGATGATCCTCCAACAGACATACAGACTATAAGTAACTTTGCAACTACCCAGGTAGCAAAGAATTCTGGCCCAGATTTGGCATGTGTCTGGCACAGCTGGCATTCATCCGGCACTGGCATACAGCATGTGGGCCAAACATGGCCCGGGTTTGGCAGAGATGGCACTGGATTTAAGACGGCACCCAAGACATGGGCCAGATATCAAATGGAGTATTTGGCCCAGATGTCAAATATAGATATGTGGGCCATATATGTATGGCCGATCTATAGCCACATTTAAAATCATTTAAAAATATTTTTGAGTAAAATCCCAATGTTTTCCCATACAGAAAAGTAATATATTCACAAATATGTGAAACACTGTAAAATATATTTTACAGTGAAAATGTTAACATGTTATTTAACAATAACATGTTATGCATTTTAAAAATATATTTTCTAAATGTATTTCAATAGATTGTACAGTGTTTCACATATTTGTGAATATATTACTTTTCTGTATGGGAAAACATTGGGATTTTACTCAAAAATATTTTTAAATGATTTTAAATGTGGCTCAATATCGGCCATACATATATGGCCCACATATCTATATTTGACATCTGGGCCAAATACTCCATTTGATATCTGGCCCATGTCTTGGGTGCCGTCTTAAATCCAGTGCCATCTCTGCCAAACCCGGGCCATGTTTGGCCCACATGCTGTATGCCAGTGCCGGATGAATGCCAGCTGTGCCAGACACATGCCAAATCTGGGCCAAATTTGTTTGCTGACTGTAGCTTAAGCTGCTCCCAGGTAGCAAAGAATTCTGGCCCAGATTTGACATGAAGCCGGCACGGCGTTCAGTCGGCACTGGCATGAGGCATGTGAACCGAACATAGCCCGGTTATGGGCAGATTGAACCGTTTTTAAGGCGGCAAACAGGATATGGGCCAGTGGTTAAAACGTGTATTATTTGTCTCACACGTAAAATATAGAAATGTGGCCCACATATGTCTGGCCAGACTTATCCCACAGTTAAAATGTAATTTCAGATATTTTATAATTGATAATATTTTCATAAACACAGCTGTTTCCCCTATTCCTGTTTGCACCATGGGCTTATTGCTCTCTATTAACAAGGTTTAATTAGCCTAATAATAATTTAAAATATGAAACACCATAAATTTTAAATTTACAATAAAACTTTAATTGTTTGATTGTCTCATTTCATGCACAAGAAGGCCGATCGTTTCTTTCTTACAACGTCCTAATATGGCAAAAAAAAAAAAAAAAAAAAAAAACATTTTTAAAAAAAAATGTACCAATCAGGTTGCATCTAGAAAAACACGACCAGAAAGCGCGCCTAAACCGCAATGCTTCATGGGTTTGCAGTTTTACCTCATTGTAGTCTTTACACTCAATCTTGTATTTTTGTCTTCTTTATATATATATATATATATATGGATTATATGGATTATATATATATATTTTTTTTGATTGAAACTGTGCAATCTTGCGATTTAGCCGGTTTAGTTAATGGTTTAGAACGCTTCAACCCAAATAAAAAAATAATAATAAAAAAATAATAATTTATACTTCCGGATCCAGCGCTGCCGAAGAAGAAGTGGGCGCGCACTGATGCACTCGACTGCATTTCACTAACGGTTGCGGACTTCTCACCTCAAAGCGAGCGAAGTTTGGTAAGTGATAATTTTTAATTTTAGAGTTAGTATGAGTTAGTATAGACGGAAAGTGAAATGTTACAGATGTGCCACAATGTATAATTGTAGCTGTTAGTTAAAATGTAGAAGTTGACTAAATGTTCGTCGATTACATTTAACGTTAAATGACATCAGACATCTTTATTTTTATATCACAGCCATTTCAATTTAAGTGACATACACTGATGGATTAACATACTAAATTGTATAGCAGCAATTGGCACCTGAAACATCACACAAAAATATAAATATCATAAGGATATTGATTACTTTTGTTTATATTCTATTAATTGAGGATTTTAACAATTTTGTGCCCTTATGATATTTATATCTTCTATAGAGATTATCAAATTTTAAGTTCGATATTTTTTAATGCTAATTTGTGTTATATAAACAACATATCACGACAAAGCCCTCTTAAAATTTCAAATATGCAGAGACACAGAGAGATAAAATCAGTATTGTAACACATACAAAAAAAGTTTAACATTTAAGAAATAGCCTATACATTTTTTGCAATTATGCTAACTTACATCATTACAGCGATTACATGTTATTATCATGTATATTACACACTGGCAGTTTAAAGTTTTGAAAAAGAGCTTGACTGTATTTTTTAGCAAGTAGCCTAAATGTAAGTTAGCCATGGTGAGTAAAAGAGAGATTAGATTTGGACCTCCTAAACATTTGACATCAAATTTAGCCTATGTTTGTGTGTGTGTGTGTGTGTGTGTGTGTGTGTGTGTGTGTGTGTGTTTGCATTTCTAATCCATTGTGGATTTTGTTGTGGTATCACTCATTATTTATGCAATTTGTTGAAATTTTTGTTTGATAAATTATGTAACAAGTGAGCAAGTGGGTTTATGGGTTTTGATAGTTTGTCTTTCATTTTGAAATTAAATAAGAAGAAATGAAAAAAACAAGATTTCAGCTGTGAACCAAAAAATGAAAATATAGTCAAAATCTTATATTTTTGTTTATTAAAAAAACAAAACATTTTCTTGTTTCTGCTTATTTCATTTTAAACTGAAAAACAAACTTATCAAAACGTACACGGACCTTGTAGTCTTATTCATTTATGATTGTTTTTGTTTGGTGTGTGTGTGTGCTTTCTATATTATTAATAATTTATATAAATATTTTTTCAATTTATAATGTTCTCTTTTGTGTTTGTTTCAGGTTCAAGAACAAAAGACCTGAGTAAAGCCACGGTATGGAAAAGACTCGTTCAAGAGCTGACATTCAAGAAGTTTTTTGTTTGTTTGTTTTTTTGTAATTTTTTTTGTTTAAATGTGAAAAAATAAACATTTGTTAAGAATACTGTTGTGTTTCAGACATTTTTTAGCTGAGCAGGGTGTATATAAAGTGGCTAGATCATGGTTTAGTTGAGGCTGACATGAATCAACCCAGACAGCAACATAGTGTCGGCCCAGATCCGGCCCACTTCTTGTACACGTGGATTCCACACGGCCCAGATGTGGGCCGGATCTGGGTCGACACTGTTGCTGTCTGGGAATTGTTTGGTCCTACAAAGGACCAGAATAGGGCCAGCTATAGTCATACATTTGGCTGAGATATGGCTATGCCATGGGTCATATGTGGCCCGAGTTCTGGCAACCAGACCTGGTCCAGAATAGGGCCAGCTATAGTCGTACATTTGGCTGAGGTATGGCTATGCCATGGGCCATATGTGGCCCGAGTTCTGGCAACCAGACCTGGTCCAGTCATGTACCGTAATTCATTGCTGTATTTGGGCCAAGTGAAAGTGGATTGTGTGGCCCGTCACTGGGCCAAACCAATTTTGCTATGTGGGTACATGTCAAGTTATTCTATCCCTAAACCTACCAGTCTACTAATACCATACTAACACTCTAGTGAGAGTTAGTAGAGATGTAGGTGCAACGTTACTTATAGTCAACTGAATGTGTTAAAGGGACCATCCAAATAAAGTGAAACCAAATAACTTCCCCTCCCTCTTGCTCATCTCTTCTCTTCTCTGTTGATTTGTATACTGGTGCGAGGGCGGGACAACCTGTCACTCACATGACATCACAGCAATAGCAAACCACAACCATCCAATCAATTCCCGATAGACAAAATCAAGCCCCGCCCAACATTTATCATCTTGTTCAAGAAGCTATTTCACTCAGATGTACATCATTTTAGCGAAGGAAAGATATCACAAACTTCCAAGTCATGCCAAATTTAAGATTACAGAACTGCAAAGAAACAATGTTATTGTGTATTGGTGTGGATGCTAATATAGTTATCGCTCTTGGTGTGAATGGGCCTTAAGGGGGTTTCCAAATCCCATATCTGGCTCAGGTCCTGCTTTCATTATAGGTCTATGGGGTATTTATGCTCCTTTTATTGCCTGCTGGATGAAAAGTGGCATCACTTAACAAAGTAATAGCATACTTCACTTCAACAAGCCGCATGATTTAAAATATCATTTATTTTTTAATTGCAAACTGTGCAGGATGGGTTACACGCTGACAGCACATATCCACAGTTATGGTTATCTCAAATGGTCTTTTAATACTGTACTTTATTTTCCAGGCCCTTGATCTTGGTCCTTTGGTTGTTGAGCTGCTCACTTTGCTCATTCACAGCCTTCAGCAGATCAGTGATGCTCTTTTCCTGGGTCTGGATGATCTCCTAATAGACAACGACAGCAACATCTTAGCATCTTTTTTTTTTTTATGTCAAACATAAATGTGAACCTGGCTGGGTTATGCGCCATTCATAACTGAATTTGTACTGTAGTGAACAAGATATTTCAAATCAAATTTGGAATGAATTAATGCATGAATGATAAAATGTATACCTGGTGCAATGTACTCTAAAAAAAGGTATGATAATACATTGTATTATGTTGTGCTAGAAAACACATTGTAATCTTGTTTTTAACTTAATGGAAAATTTACTGGCTGAAAATTACCAGTACCTTTCCCTATTTTCTACATGTAATATAATTGCATAATTGTATATACAATTCACTATGTACATCATTTTTGGACCATGGAAGGAGAACACATTTCTCATTATGCTCTCCCAAACTTTTAAGGTCAAGTGAACCACTGTGACCTAAATTGTTAGCACCCTCTAAAAAATGCTAATCTTTTTCTTATTTTTAAACAATATCTTTGTATGTTGAATATTTGTTTTTATTTGTCTTTACTTTTTTGTATTCTTATTATTATTATACAACCAAATTATAATCAATAGATTTTGTCAATATTAATTCAATCGTTTTTAGAAAGTTATCTGAAAGTAATGTGGCGGATACTTGTTGAGGTCCTGTATGATAAAATTAAAATTAGTTTAAAAGGCTCTGTTAATTTGACTCTGTTTACCTTAGTTTAGAGAAATATTTAGGTGACACTTGATTTTACAGTGTCTTTGTTACACGTTACATATAGTTACTGTAGTAATTACTATAATAATCATAATAACATGCAACTAACTCTAAACCAAACCCTACCTAACCCTAACAGTAAGTACATGTAGTTGATTAATATTACTCTACTTAAATGTATAATTACACTGTAACAAGGACACCTTCAAATATAAATGTAATCAATATTGATGTTGTGAATATGAATGTTTTGCCCAAAACTTGGAGTAATGAAATCTCTTTACGCGCACCAAATGAAAACAAGCAAGATGATTAAGATGTTAGGTGTGGCACCTATATATAAATCATCTTGCTTGTTTGCATTTGAGCCAATTCATAATCAATCATACCTTGAATGTGGAGATTTCAGCAACCTGCTCAGTTGAGAGCAAACTCTGGGACAGACCACTTAACTTCTCCTCCAAGCCTCCCACCTGACTCCTCAGATGGTTCCTCTCTTTTATGATATCTTCCACTTTGGAGTTGATCTCCAGGGACATACTCTTTATTTCCTCATTATTTGCCTTTAAGAACACAGTGGTCTTCTTCAGTTCCTCCTCCTCCTCCTTGATTTCACTGGCCAGCGCAGAAAGTTGGTAGAAGGATTTGTCAAAGATGTTGAGCTTTTGGGATATATCATTGATCTGATTCTTGGTATTCTGCACAAAGTCCTTCAGGCTATGGCCCAGCTGTAGGAGGCCGTTCGCCAAAAGCCGAACTTCGTCCAGAGCTGCAAAGCGTAACCTAGTTTCTGTCTGATGTTCAGGCAAGGTGAGCTCTGTTGGAAAGGAATAAGACTGAGACGACACCAGAAGGAGCGACAGTAAAAGCAGTATCATGGTTGTTTCTTTTCAGCTAAGACTGCTCTGGTCCTCACTAGAGTAAGACGCCCATGGTTTTGAACTTCTTTTATATGCCTCCTCCTGTTGGGCTGTTGATCATTAAACAGCATGGTGGTGACCCCATATAGACCTTTTATAAATCCCAACGCTGTCCCAATAGGTAAATAAAGGGTTGAAATGCACAAATACCACAACATTTAAGCTTTATTCACATAATGTATCAACATCATCTGTCAAAAAAGAGATTTTGGATTGGAGCATGATAAAGGTTCAATGACAAATCATAAATAAAATGTAAAAAATCTTTTGAAAATCTTCTGCCAACACTTATGCCAAATTCCTTCTTGTTATTAGGGGACAAGCACTGAAGGTGCGTAGGTACCTATTGTATCCGTTAGTGTTATTCAAAGTATTAATACATATTCTTCTTCCACTCCTGAAGTCTATGCAGCCCATAGAACCGCTTGTGGGAAAGTTGATGAATTTGGCAGAGCAATTTGGAGTCTCTAAGTTAAACCCTCTAGCGCCACCAATTGTCCAAAGTTTCACTCATGTTTATGCTAATAACGTTTGAACCGTAAGGGCTAGAAACCAAATTCAATGTCATTTTCCATTAGGAACATTTTTCCACCATTTTGGATTTTCCAAAGCTTTTTCGAACTCCTCCTAGGCTGTTGCTCAGATTTTCACGAAAATTTAACCAGATCGTCTTCAGACCATGCCAACAAAAAAGTATAATTCAAGTTGATTAGTGAAACTGTTCTCGAATAATGCGTGAACGAATTCAACAAAATGCACGTCAAAATGAACATAAGGCTATATCTCTGCAACTCTTTAGCATATTCTGACAAAAATGTGTGTGTGTTATGACAACCATGACCCGAGGCTACCTGCACAGTCTCGACGCAGTGCCACCTAGTGGTCAGGAGATTAAACAATGGCTCTTTTTGCTCATAACTTCTGAACTTCTGAAATCTCAGACTGATCTCATGAAATGGCGTATGTATGACACGCCAATTCGTATTTTCATTTTTGGCGTGCTATCAACACGCATAATCGCTTTTCAGCGTGTTTATCAACGCCTTTGACTTAACGTTATATTACTGTATTATGTATATATAAATATATGACCTACCCCAACCCCGTCCCTAAACCTACCCGTCACTGGGGTTAATACCATTTATGAGTCTTCTCCTACCATCCTAGGAAAATAAATATCGCTCCACAGATGTAGATATAGATTTTGCTTCGTTTCGCTCGGACATTTAACGGCGTACACATACACGCGGAATCACTCGGACATTTAATGGCGTAGACATACACGCAAAAGATTTCGGCGTGGACATACACGCGGATAGCTCAAAATGCGTATAGATAACACGCCACTTGAATTGAAAGTGGCGTGTATGTTTACGCAAAGTCATGATGTCATGTTGGAAATCTAGTCTCTTTAGATTCGGTGAAGCATGCGTGTCTCTGTGTGTGTGTGTGTGTGTGTGTGAGAGAGAGAGTCATTGGGCTACGGCTGCTAATATCATTAGCTCTGACTTCATATAGCTCTCCACTGTCCTAACTCTTCAAAATACAAAACCAACTATTAGCTATAACTACACCGCTGTCCATTGCCATATGGCAGTGAGATTATGTCCTGTTTTCCTGAAAGATCATTCTGTCTCCCTGTGACTTCTATTTAAGCAGAAGACACTGGATGGGGTGACCTCTGAATTTTTAATGACAGTCAATGTTTTTCAACTGGCTCAAAAGTCAGTGAGTGAGCCAAAGAAAACACAGAGGATTTTATAAGAGGCTGATCCTAACAACTACATGAACTATATGTCATAACCTTCACAAGCTGAGGTCTAAAAATAAAAATGTGTGAGTTCTGTTGCAGTCAAAGCAGATTTCCAATAAACGTAAATCAGAAAGCTTTGGGCCTCTTCCAGTTAAACGTTAACTTGCATAAGGATGACACAGTAGAAACAACAAACCTGACCTTACCTCCATTTCTGTCCAAAACAGGGAATATGTGTCTGTTTGATAAGGTGTCCAAGTACAAATTCGTGTGTGTATCTTGGGTTTATGAATCATGCTTTTGTTGTTTAGGGCTTGGATGAATGCTTGAATTTCTCATGGGCCAGCAATCAATCTTTATCCCTAGTTTGCAGTTTGTTTGGTTTGTGGACTCTTTTGAAGAAGGCCACATTTGCATCCTAATTATGGGTTTACTGCAGCAGAATACACACAGACTGTATACAATGCACATGATTTACATCACTGTCTTGTCTTACATCACTGATGATTCAACATGTGGCACACACATGTGCATACAAGCATAGATAAGTGCACATACTGTGTATATATTTGAGAACCCCCCTTTAGACAAAATCTGAATACAATCAAGAAGGAAACTGAAATCGCAAAATTACAGTAATTTCAACACAGACTATGTATGTTATGATTTAGCTAGTAAAATAACCATACAAGTGAAGAATTTATTGGCATAAAAATAACAAATCATAAGACATGGTTCAGAATTGAGTTTATTTTATTTTATTTATTTAGGGCTCTACAAATGTGCATTTATTTTCCTGGAGGCAAACACATATACAGGTAAATAATCTAAGCAGGGAAATGTTTTATATGCTAATATAGTTTTCTATATAGTTTCCTCTTAGAGACACCATTTGAAATTGATCCCATTAAAATGCGTTTGCAGAACTGAAAGCTTTTGAAAACTGTAAAGGGCACTGTCACAATTTGAGTCTGTTTGTCACGTTTTTAGTGTGTTCATGTCTGATTTGAGTTTATTTCTAAATAGAGACTGCTGCACTTAGATCCTGTTTTTAATGTTCAGTTCTGTCACTGTTGGTTGAGGCAGAGATAAAACAGGATCTAAGTGCAGCAGTCTTTATTTAGAAATAAACTCAAATCTTAACAAAACAGATTCTCAGGAACCGGATCATGAACAGAACACCAGACCACAGATGGATCCAGCAGTCTCCCTTGTCCGACTACGCCAAGGGACTCACTCACTCGAGGACCACATCAGACACTTTTTGAACATTGCTAACATCACTGACCTCCCGGACTTCCCTTTGACTTTGTTTGCTATGGACTCAACAACCAGTTACAATCCAAAACTCATCCGTGATGGTCCTCGAGGGTCACTGAGTGAGTTCCTAGATAACGCCCTTCTGGTGAACGGCTTTGCTCTTACGACATTCATGGAGTACTCATCACACCAGAGACCCAGCCGCCACGCCTGAAGCTTCAGCCAAGATGGCCACTGTGGTGAAGACATGAGTCCCACCGTAGAGATGAGTCCCACCTTAGGACTTCAGTAGTATGCCTGATCTAAAGCTGTTCTCACAATAACTTGTTGTAACGTGAGCTGTTTTAGCTTTATGTGGAAGCTTTATGTATGCTAAATCCCGCTGCTATGTACAAAATAAGATAAAAGCAGTTTGTAAAAACATTTTAAACAAGTAGTCTAGCAGTTTTCTACCATCACGTAATATATTTATTTGTATAGCGCTTTTCACTGTACACACAGCTTTACAGAAAAACAGACAACTATTGTATAGTATTTGAATTGTATAGGTAAGCAAACCCCACTAAGAACGAGAAATGTTTAATTTCAAAATCTATAGCTTCGGTTACAAACTAGTATATGAAACATTGTCTGTAAACATTCAGGGCGAATAAACCCCCATTCTGATTCTGATTCTGATTCTGATATACGTTAACGCAGTATGTTGTTGTGGGAAGAAGGAGGCGGGAACCGGCAAACGCTTAAAGACTTTAATAAATAAATAAACACAAAATGAAAGTAAAGACGGCAGTCCCTCACGACTGCCGCCACACATAATAAAACAAAACATCAAATAAAACAGTCCAGGCCTGGTCCTCTCTCAATCTTCACTGTCGTCGTTTCTCCTTTTATGCTTCCGCTTCTCCGTGAGAGATACGAGACCGGTGCGGGTGGCGCAGATACGCAGGTGGCGCTCATCAGTAATCATGCCACTCTGTCATGATTCCTGTCTTGTGTTCCCCTTGTCTTGTGTGGACTTTTGTTATTTCCTGTTTTGTGCCATGGTTTGTAGTCCTTTGTAGGTTTTCTTGTTGATTAGTTCCTGATTGTTCCCAGGTGTGTCGTGTTTGCCAATCACCTCTTGTGTATATATACTTCAGTGTTTCTCATGGTCTTTGTCTGGTGTCTGGTGTTGAACTGCCTCATAACAGGCCAGTAACCTTTTAAGGGAACTCATGCTGCGTCGGTGACGCTTTAGGAACGCCCCTGCACGATTGCGTCTGAAGCATATGTGTCAACTAGACCAATTGCGAGAGTGAGCGTCAAGGGCGGGTGACTTCACGACCAGGTCTGACCGGCGTTAGCTTTTGTGCCTCAGCAAGCGCTCTGTGTTTATGGCCAGGCACAGGTGGATCTGTTCGCGTCTCAGTATACGACGCACTGTCCACTTTGGTTCTCCCTCACGTATCCAGCCCCACTAGGACTGGACGCAATGGTGCAGACATGGCAGAGGCGTGTTTCCCCCGCATTTCACCCGATTACTCTGCTCCCAGGAGTTCTGGAGAAGGTCCGCTAGGACGTAGTGAGTGTCCTGTTGATAGCTCCGTACTTGCCAAGCCGAGTGGAGTTTTCAAACCTAATATCCCATCTCGACGGCTCTCCCCTGGAGCTGCCTGTCAGGAGGGACCTTCTACCTCAGGCGGGGTGAGCAATCCTCCATCCCTGTCCAGAAACATTTAACCTGTGGGTCTGGCCTCTGTGGGGGCCCGACTCATAGACTCTGGTCTCTCAAACGAGGTTGTGGAGACCATACTGCACTCCAGAGCTCTGTCCACGAGGAAGCTAAATGCCCTGAAATGGAGAGTTTTTATCTCTTGGTGCAATCTACGACAATGGGATCCAGTTAATTGCACTGTTGGTTCATTACTTGAGTTCCTGCAAGATCGTTTTGCTTCAGGGTTATCTCCTTCCACACTGAAGGTTTATGTTGCGGCCATTACAGCCTATCATGGTTTATCTGTCGGAAGATATCCTCTTATAGTACGTTTCCTTCTTGGCACCCAGAGGCTAAGGCCTGCAGTTCGTACCAGAGTTCCAGCTTGGGATCTGGCTCTTGTTCTAGAAGGTTTATCTGTCGCTCCCTTCGAGCCTTTTGATTCGGTCTCAGAAAAGTTTCTGACCCTCAAAACTGTGTTCCTTTTAGCCATATCCTCACTAAAAATAGTAGGAGATCTTCAGGCCCTATCAGTATCTCCTTCGTGCCTTGAGTTTGCACCCGGGATTGTCAAAGCTTTCCTCTATCTGAAACCCGGATATATACCAAAGGTTCCAACCAATGTACCACAGCCTATTGTACTGCAGGCGTTCTGTCCTCCTCCTTTTAAAGATCAAGACCAGGAGAAATTGAACCTCATCTGTCCAGTCAGAGCACTGGACACTTACGTCCACAGAGCTGCCCTGTGGAGAAAGTCTGACCAGCTGCTTGTATGCTTTGGCCCATTAAAAAGGCCTTCCTGCATCCAGACTGTTAGTAAATGGATAGTTGAGGCTATCTCTCTTACATATGAGGTTGTGGGCCAGCCTTCACCTTTGGTCACTAGAGCCCATTCTACTAGGGGTATGGCGGCCTCCAAGGCCCTAATTTCAGGGGTGTCCCTTCAAGAAGTTTGTGATGCAGCGGGCTGGTCTTCGCCGCTCACGTTTGTCAGATTTTATGACCTAGACATGGATACCCCTGGGTCTAGAGTTCTTATGTCATGACAGTTTTAACACGGCATGTTCTTGGCCGTATGGCGTTGGGGCATTCTCGTTCCCAAAGTGTCATCGACGCAGCGCGAGTTCCCTCGAAAGGGAACGTCTCAGGTTACGACTGTAACCCAAGTTCCCTGAGTAGGGAACGAGACGCTGCGTCACTTTGCCATACTTCCTACATCCCTGTGATCGACTTGCTTTTTCTAAGCTAATGCCGGTCAGACCGGATGTGCTTTTATCCTTTCTTGGTCGTGACGTCACCCACCCGTGACGCTCACTCTCACCATTGGACTAGTTGAAACATATGCTTCAGACGCAATCACGCAGGGGCATTCCCAGAGCGTCATCGACGCAGCGCGAGTTCCCTACTCAGGGAACTAGGGTTACTGTGCCATTTGTGCCTTTTCCCACTCTTAGTCCCAAAGTACCAGGGCTATAACTGTCAGAGACAAAATATTATGAGAGTGAGACAAAATATTATGTGGTTATAGCCTTGCACAAAGAGTTTATTTATTTATAAATCACATTATTTTAAACCAGTCGTTTGGACTTCATATCATTTAAAAATACATGGTTTATTTAATTTACATAGTTTATATCTTCTCTAAATATATCATTGTTTTTAAAGAAGGGAAGTCATAACATAAGGTTGAGCAAAAAATGTGGGACAAAACTATAGAAAAAAAACAAGTATTATAAACAAAATCTCAATTTAAGAATTGTTTTTTTCTTCTGCTATATAACCCAATCAAACGTAGATGGTGATGAACGGGGAACTGCAAATTGTCTGATATTCTGATGAAAAAATTATATTTTTTTATTTTAAAATGTGTTTTGCTTCACACAGTGTACTAAACACTGTTAAGTCTATACAAATAAAAAATAATTACATAAAGTATTGTGAGACAAATGACAACATTTATCAAGAATGACAAACTGACAAAAGTTTGCAACTGGCTGCTATTAGCAAAAGGAAAGTGGACCTGCGTGTTTCTTTTGTCACTGAGTTGTGGAAGTCTAGTTTGGCACGCTTGTTCCCATCACTCATGCAGGACCACCTCAGATGACTGAAGTTATTCTGTTTGGTGGGTGTCACATGCAAGCCATGCATTTTCTTGTGGCTGTTTTATGTCCCACATTGCATGTTAGTCAAACTGTTAGATTGTTCCTGTAATTTTCATAGTTAGCTCCACCAAATGACTTTACACATTATATACTGGGTAGAGTCCAGTTGCTACCTACAAGCATGCAAACCATCAAATTGTAGTGTACATCAAATATTAAAGTTTTTTTTATGCACTGCACTTTTAATAAGTGTACTTTGTAATAATGTTAAATTAAAAGTTTTACTTTAAAGTACATTTTAAACCATTGTTTTAATAATCTTTTGTCATGCTTTAAAGTACACTTAAAAGTGTTTTTGATGTGTTGTCTAACATACTAAGTGTGTGTTAAGTGTAAAGTGCTTGATTAAAATGTTACTGTAGTGTGTTATTTGATATGATATTTAAAGTTAATATACTTTAAATGTACTAAATTGCAACTCATCACGTGTAATTACAAATCTATTACAATAGGCTACCAGCTTCAGTAAAGTTACATTAAAGTATATTTTAGTTTACCATAAATGCATGTCAGTACACTTAAACCATATTTCAAAGACAATAAAAGTAATTATGAAATTAGACATACACTTAAGTCCTACATAAGTGGGTCAAAATCCACTAATGCATGTAATATATCTTTAAATTATAATACATTTTATTTAATTGTAACTAACATGCAATCAAGTGTCTGAAAACATTACATTCAGTTTGCACACAAGTATATTCATTTAAAGTATGTTGTTTCTATAACAAGTACTCTTTTTATAAGTATACTATACCTCACATGGGAAACTAAAAGGGGAAAAAAGAAAATTCCTTTTCAGCTTTTTAATCAGTTGTGAAAGTATAGTCAGCCTTTCCCATTATCTATGCTCAATAAGCACCGCCTGGCTGATGCTGATGTTGAAAATCTACAATAATACTATTAAAAAGAAGACCAGAGGAGAAAGGAGATACATAAAGAATGAATGGCATGTCCTGCGGAAGCCTCAAACACTCTGTGCCCTGTACTCATAAAAAGCCCTGAACTATTTTCATGATTATAATGGATGGTGAGCACTAAGTTACAGTGGATTGAATTACACTTAAAGTGTGTGGGTGGGCATGTGTGTGTGTGTGTGTTCTGAGATTCTGACAGGTTACTTTGGGGTCCTCTTTCACCCAGTTTCATGTGGGAATAGTTTTGTGAGTGCCCCAGTACTCTTCAAGTAAACTCGGGCCCCCTGCCATCACATGAATCCTGTTTTGACAAACATCCCTCAGTTGCAGTTATGCACAAAGCCCCGCCCACCTCTCAGTTTTTCAGCCCGCCCTATTTCTTTCATTGGAGGAATTGTGTAGATTGCCTCCCACCCACTGGCTCTGATTGGACGGGGCGGAGCCATGAAAGGCCAGAGTGCCTACATCCCACCTCCTGTTCCACACACAATAACACTGCTTATGTTTTGCAAGAATTTTACATTGGCATTGCTTGAATGTCTTTTGTCTGCCTTCCCCTCTGAAGCCTCTCAGATGAAGGAGAAAAGTGAAGAGGTGAACAGGCTACACTTTAGCACGGAGAAGACAAAATGCCAAACCTGTGATATTTAAGGTAAGATACAGCCCTAAAATACAGATTTAATTCGGTCTCAATGTATAAATAAAGAACTCAGAGAAGTGAAGTCGGTCACACTTTAGATTAGGGTCCAATTCTCACTATTAACTATTACTTGTGCCTCAATAAACTCCGAATGACTGATTATTAATAGTTATTAAGGTAGTTGTTAAGTTTAAGTATTGGGTAGGATTAAGGGATATGATCATGCAGAATAAGGCATTAATATGTGATTTAAGTACCAATAAACAGCCAATATCCTAGTAAAATGCATCCTAATAAGCAACTAGGTAATAATAAGAATTGGACCCTAAACTAAAGTGTTACCGTAGAGTCAAAGAGTTTGAGCAAAAGTTTATTTCATTTAACTCTGGGTGTCCACTAATTTACTTTTCTTTTTTTTTCTTTTTTACTAATTTGGGTGTGTCGTTTTGATTTCATAAGATAGCCTACATGTAATTTGTTCATTTTGCACAAACAAATTCTCAGGAAGTCCAAATCTCAAATCTGATGAAGTGATTGTTTCGCTAAAACAATAGAGAGACGTCCTGGATTGCTTCGTTTGTGTGACAGGAGGTTTCAGATGGTGACTTGAAAAGACTCTTTTTGAAGTTTTCTCAGACGCTTAGTGCTGAATGTTTCACATGTGTTTGATTATACAGTGAGTCTGAATTTACTTTGCTGCACACACGTCTTCTCGTGTAACTGGTGTGCGTGCGCATATTGCTGTTGGCAAAGAGCCAAGATTGTCGACATGGTCCAAATACTGTGGACATGGAAAAAAAATCGGGAAAAAAGATGGAACAACACTCTAAGGACAAATAGATAGATAGATAGATAGATAGATAGATAGATAGATAGATAGATAGATAGATAGATAGATAGATAGATAGATAGATAGATAGATAGATAGATAGATAGATAGATAGAGTGTTTCTTTTCTCACAGTAGTCATTCTTCAGTAGCAGAGACTCTTCAACACACCCTCTCTCCATAAAGTGAAAGGGTGATGGGGATCAGAGAGCAGGAGAACCGATCTCTGGCTTCAGTCCTCCAGCCAACTCCAAACAGAGGAGAAAGAATGAGGATCTGAGCCAAGGAAACCACACCACTTACAGGGCCAAACAGGAAGAGTGAAACGTCTGTCTATTGTGTGTTATAAATGTGAGTGAGTGAGAACGTGTGCAGGACCAGCAGTCTGTTTTATGTAAAAGTGAATCAGGCCCACTTGAGTTGTTAATTGTGCAAGTCAAAACACAGCTATAACATAATGCTATTCAGAGAAGAAACAGAGAACAGGTAGTGTAATCTGACACCTTTTTAGTGAGAAGAGAAAAGCCACACAGTCATTTATAATTTATGGATTGTGCAGCAAAGTTTCCCTGTATATGAAGTAAAAACTTCAAGTCTTAGCCGACTAGTTTGAAACTCTTTGCAGGAAATGTTTGTTCCTCTCAAGTTTCCAGTTTGGTCTTTTTTTTTTCCATCCTCCAAGCCTGAATTAAAACCTGAAATTGTCCATTCGTTTCAGAGGACACTGTGTTTCAATTTTTGTTCTTACAGCGGTAGCAGTTTTTAGTTTGTCATGAGTTTCAATCCAATTTGTGGTGTAAGAAAGAATGCTGTGGAGAGAAAAGCATTTAATGAGAGGAGGGATATTTTTTTCCCTGAGTGCTGCAAAAAAGGAAAGTGAACAATAATCATTACTGTGAAATGGATTGTGCCGCACTCAGTGAACACAGACTACATTGTGAAAGTGACCAAAAACATCCCAAATCTATAACAGTGGCTGAATTAAGATTCTACATGAAAGCTGGTTGTATGGTAGAAACAATTACCAGCACTCATTATGATTTAGTATTTATATTACAGTTTTTTTTGTAATAGTGGTGCGAATATATTTTTTCATTCCAGAAATATACTCTACACAAGTTCTCAAGGGGGCATTAACATCAAATTATGTGTCTTTACACATCCAGTGTCCAGTGACTTGCATTTGAATGCAAATCTGAACAATACGTTTGTGAGACAGAAAGTGAGACAGAAAAATATCATATGGTACAACATTTAAATAAGCATATCAAGTAGTAGAAAATGTGTAAGATGTAATAGTTTAGTTGATATCACTCTTGTAAAAGCTCTGGTTGAGACGTACAATGGCAATGTGGCTATTAATTTTGCGATCACACTTTGCTCATTTAATTCATAAAGTTTACAATCATTCACTTCACACGCTCATTTTTGCATAGTGATTTTAGAGGTTTATGTATAATCTCATCCCATGCTATACTCCTAGCTAACCTGTTATCCAGCAAACATGAGGAGTGAATGGGTCTGCTGAATATTTATCATTTTATTCTGTAGAATTTTAGTTTTTTTAGAAGATATGATCCTGCCTTTCTGAATAAGGTATTCGGCATCGGGCACATCCCTAGTAGAGGTGATGCTGGGGTCATGACACTGTATGTGTGTCTTAAATGTTCAAGTACTTGTTTATGTTAAAAATGTGCGTCCATTCTTGCTCCTAGAGGCCCACTGTCCTGCAGAGTTGACCTCAAATACACCTGTCTGAAAGTTTTTAGTGATACCGAGGACCTTGATTTACTGGTTCAGGTGTGTTTAATTAGGGCTAGAGATAAACTCTGCTAGAAGGTGGCCCTCCAGGAGCAGGATTGAACACCCCCGGCTTACTGGCTATTTATGGATTTTCAGGATACAGGAAACATTTGTCAGGAAACTTTCTATGAGTGTGTTTCAGTCAAGAATCCTGCAGCCCCATTTTCCTGTCAGCAGAAGACAGTATCAGCAATGCATTTTTTTGTCTGACAGTGCCCATATACCTTGCTTGTTATATCAGTTCTTTCAGATCAGTCTGCCTTAGCGGGAACTGAGGTATCTCATAACCAAAAAAAGATCAGCCCCTATTTCTGTGCTTGTCTGGCTTATCTCTGTCGATAGAGTAGAATGGTGGAACAGACAGGTATGAAGGAAGGACGGCTGCAATTTTTGATAAGATGTATTTCTTCAACTTGTGTGAGCTATGCCACGGAGTGCATCTGTGGTTGTCTGTGTGTATGTGAGCCAGTGGAAGTGTTTGGTCTCAGCTGTTTGTGTGTTTACTGCATAGCTCACATTGTTTGGGCTGTGGCTGCTTCTGTGGTGCCTTGAAAGTGCTTCGTGGTCAAAGAGAGAGATGAGGAGAGAGACAGACAAGAAAGAGTCTGGCTCTGTAAATCTGCTGAATACTAATGCACAACCTACTCTCACCTTAACTTGTGTTCCCAACATTTAGAAGTGCTTGATTCTGTTTAATTAAATGCATCAAAAGTAACAGAAATGTATCTTTGTCCTCAGGGGGTAAGAGACACAAACCAAAAGCCACATGAAGCTGAAGACAGACTTATGCTAAGAACAATGGATACCCAAAAAGGTATGAATAACCCAATTTTTGTTCAGTCGTAGCATGGTACAACATTTCCAATGATCTGAATAAATTTGGAGCAATTTGGATATTGTGCATCAATTCTACAAAACACCTTTGTGTTTTTCTTTTAGCGAATGGCATCTCTCCAAAAGAGAATGGGAGCCAAAGAAGACCACCCTCCTATTCTGTAGAGACGCCCTATGGATTCCATCTGGACCTGGACTTCCTTAAATATGTGGATGACATTGAGAAGGGCAACACCATCAGGAGGGTGCCAATGCAGCGAAGGCAAAGAGGGCGAAATAATGGTGCCCTGTCACGTAACTTAAGCCTTCCGGGTTATGGGTGCAGAGCTACAGAGTGGAGCTCTATCAGTACTTTATGGCCCAAAACCAAACTAGGAGACTCTCAACAACATTTTGAGTTTCGATCTAGTGACAGTGTGTCTGCTGGCTATGCCAGGAGGGGAGAGCCCATCTACAAGTCCTTCACATCTGCAGAGATGGAAGCTGATATTCAGGCTTTTGATGAGCAGCCTTTAGGACATTATGTCAGGCCAAATCTCTTGAGAGCCTCCAGTTTACCCTTGACTGTTTTACTGAGAAAACACTCTGAGTCAACCGATGGTCCAACTAGCCCCAGCAGCCCCAAGGAATATTTAATGCGGGAAAATGGTTCCTCTGAAGATGTATTCCATACATCCGACAGCAGGATGGGTAGGGCAAATGGGACCCTCCAGCGGCTCTCTGCAGCACTTGAACGAGTTGGGGAATTGGAAGAGGAGATCAGAATCATTCCTGAGCTCAAAGCTCAGATATGTATTTTGCAGGAGGAGCGAGAGAGGCTTTTAGTCCATTTACATTCCCAAAACAAAACCACTGGGCCACTGAATGTTCCTACTGCTTCTCTACACATAAATAACTGGGACAGTCCCTCGTCTGCCAGAGAAAATCAAGACAAAGCAAGTGATGACTGGATGAATCGAGAATATGACCGACTTGAGAAAAATGTCAAGGCTTCTTCAGAACAAGTTGAAGCAGTTGCAATGCCTTCAACTAGAATTCTTCCAGAGATAGAAAGACATAAGACGGTCTCACGAGAAAAAGATCTCTTAGATAATGGAGACAAAACCAAGTCTCTCACTGAAACTCTCCAGAGGAAAGTTGTTTTGTTGGAACAGAAACTTCATGAACTGGAGGTCGAGCTGGATAAGACAAGAACTCTGCTGAAGCAGCAAGTAGAGGAGAGTCATCTCAAGGATGAGAAGATTAAGCAGTTGACTATACAGCCGGGGAACACACTGGCCAGGATGATTTCATCTGAGATCTTCTTAGCAAGTAAACAAAATCTTGAAACTTTGGTAGAATTGCAGGAACCAATAATAAGTGAGCAAGAGATGCCAACAGAGGAGGGAATCCCCCCTCAGGTTCTGGATCAACCTCCAGTATCACATGCAGACATGGAGCACCATGTGAAAAGATTGCAAGAGCTCCTTCAGGAGCAGTGGGAATGCCTTTGCAAAGGTGACTCATCAGGACAAATGTCTTTCGATCACTTGCCGCCAAGGGTCTGCACCATTCAAGAGCAGTTATCAACTTTAGTCACCCTTCTATCCCTCTATGTGTTTCCTGCTGGGGATGTTTCTCAACCAGGTATGACTCTAGACTTAGTCGTACCTCTAAGGATTTAACAGCTTGTCACTGGGGCATTAGCCTCAAAAGGTACTCATATGCAACCTTCAGGGGTAGATAAGGTAAAAATGTTGATTTGTTGAGGGTACTGTCCTAGTGATAAGCTGCTCTATGTGCTCCTTTTTCTGACCGTGTATAATAAAAAAATATACTTGCCAATCTATGATTTTTTTTTTAAAATGTGTGTAATGCATTTTTGTCTTTTGTGGCCTTTCTGTGAATTTCAAGACTATAAAATGAAGGAAATTCTTCCTGTAGTGAAAGAGAACCCCAAGACAGAACGTCTGCGTAAAGTCAGCACAAGAGAAAGGTAAATACATGTCCCCACATTGTGCACTTTTTTTACAGACTAATTCACAGTGACTGTAACTGCAGAATACTAATGGTCTTTGACCTTCAACTTTCTAAAGTGGGAGTGTGGAGACAGAGGGAGTAAGTTATGCTATCAAACTACAAGAGCATACAGAAGTGGATGCTGACCTCAACAAGAATACGACAAAGGAAGAAGGCAAACTATGGACCACATGGACAATGGACTCCAGTGTGCAGACAAGTAAAAGTACAAATACAGAATTCAAACCAACAGAAGATGTCGTGTATGTAGAGACCACAAAAGAAGACGAGCTGCACAAGCAAATAAGTCAGGGAAGAGCTCTAGAGGATCAGATAGAGGAAGAGAGGAAGGATCACGATTGTTTGAGAGTGGACTCGGATCACAAATCCCTGGCAATTAAGACAAACAGGTAAGGCGAACTGAATTCATCTTTAGATGTTACAACAATATCTTTCAGTAGCTTTCTTATAAATTTTAAACACAAATGGAAAACAACTTGTTTTGTTTTCTAGGGAAGCTGTTAATAAAGATTTCATACAGGCATGTTGTTTCCTTAAAGACCATATGGATAAAGTGTCAGAACCTGATGACGAAACGGTAATATTCAAACTAACTAGTTTATATTTAATATTCCCAACTTGCACATTAATGACCTATTTTGGGCAGTGGTGTGTAATAACTTAAAGCTAGTAACCGGAAGTTTGCTGGTCCAATCCCTGCAGGGAATGAGACATGAACCATCAAACCCTTGGGTGTTTTCAGGCCTGTAGATCGTTTGCTTTGATCCGAAACAGGGATTCAAATTGTTACAATGTTGTAATTTCTTCTTGGTTCTGTTCTCTTTCACAAGGCAACATTTCTAAATGGACCAAAATGTGTTAATTCAAGTCTTGTGCGAGTAAACTATCCTCTCATTAGTCAAAGTGCATCTGTTTATGTTCCGGGATTCCGCTCATCATCCATCAGCTCCGTCGTTGTGCTGAACTGTTCCATTGCGCGATTAAAGCCCATCTCTGGAGACTCTTGCTAAACACCTTGTAAACTTTGTTATTTTTATACGGTTTAGACAGTTGTTCTAAAATATGTTAATCCGACCAAAGTTCAATCAGACATTTCATTTCATCTTTGCTACAAGTTAACCCACAATTCATTTTGAGAGGCATTAGCAAAACAAACTATTGCTTTTCATTCATTCTGTACATTGTGAAACAGCCTGGTTCATTGGTATGTTCGGTGGGATTGCTTCCTCACCACGAGCCAACTGCTCCAGAGTTTGTTTTCAAGTGGGTCGAGACCACCTTTGTTTAGGCGTTCTTTTTGGTGGGGATCCGAGCGTTATTGCTCTGTTCATACATGCCTAAATGAACCGAACTAAGGAGGGAAACGTACCAGGTTCCAAAACAAACACTCCAAACGAGCCAGGTGTGAAAACTTAAATGAATATTTACTTCCTTTACTAACATTGACTCTGCCAGTTAGACTGCCAGTTAAAGTTTTTCAATCCTCACAGTACCTGTTGTTTTGTTTGTTGCCATTGTTGTATCCCTCTTTTGAGTGTTAACTTCAGTACTGGTCTTCTTCTTTGCTGATTTGCAGAGCAAGGCTCTCACTGTTGTGTTCCAGCAATGGTTTCAAATCTCTGCAGAAGAGGGGGCATGTCCCGATATTGTTGCTTTGTATCTCAGTGAGGTTAATTCACGAACACCTACAGTCCTTCAGTTCTTGGTCAACATGTTGGATGACAATGGGAACACCGCCCTGCATTATAGCGTGTCTCATTGTAACTTCAGCATCGTAAAGGTCCTTTTAGACACAGGTCAGTGGTAATATGTTCAGTTTTTTGTCTCCTTTTTTAACTACCTGGAAATCAATGTTTTAAAACAAGTATTTCATTGTGATGTAGAAAATGACATTATAGAATCACTTACTTAAAGCTAAATGAAAGCAAAATATATTTCAGTGGGAAGGGTCGCATTCACTGTTTTCACGGTGATCAGCAAAAATCTAAAAGCCAACTGAAAATTTTGTCGAGGGACCTAGAATGATGCTAAATTCCGGGTTGGCTTTGCCATAGATATCTATACATAGATTCCTCATTTGCGACATTCGAGAGCAAGTTGACTGAGCGTCTGCAACCGTAGTTGGATGCATGTATGAATATCTATATATGAAATAGACTTCAGCAGATGATTTTGATAAACTAACACAATACAAAATGGAGATATCAGCTAACACGGCTTTAAAAGGTTACCATAGTAAAAGCAAAAACATTAAAAAGTACCATAGTAAAAACTTGTAATATTGAGTTAATATAAAAACACAAACCAACACATTCTCACCTGTAAAAGGTTATCCCATTTCTTTGAGAATTTATATCTTGGAGGTTTCACAACCAAAAGCTGCGCAATGTATGGCATCATTGATTCGTACTGGTAGGGACGACACGCTGACAGTTCCAAGATGGCGCGCAAGCTGACGTGTCTGGAGCAGTCAAATGTGGCATCTATGTATACATATATGGGCTTTATTTCATCTTGGACAATGGATTATTTGTGTGTGGTGTATTTTTATAGTCTGCATATAGCAACATGCTAACGTCAAACTCAATAAATGAACTCTTAGACTAAACTGTGAGTAGTGCTATATTTTTAGTGTGGTGCACACGTTCCAAATGAGTCACTTGTGGAGTTCCATTTAATTTCGGATGCTAGAAGGCGGTAGACAGGACGGCAGCTCACTAGCGCTTAAAGCAGAGCTACTCTGTCCATATACAACTTTGTTTGAATATTCACCTTGAGGTTGTCCACTTTCCAGCTTTATTTTTTGGTTTTAACACATTCTGTTGACTATAAGTACCGTTGCACCTACAACTCTCATTAGAGTGTCAGTAAAGTATTAGTAGACTGGTAGGGTTAGAATAACTTGACATGTACTTGCAAAGTAACTTAAAGTCAATAGAATGTCTGCTGGAGGATCATCACAATAAGGAGTTAGCAGATGTTAAGCAGACAGTACTAATACTCTAATGAGAATTAGTTGACATGTAGTTGCAAAGTTACTTATAGTCAACAGAATGTGTTAAAGGGACCATCAAAATAAAGTTTTAGTAATGCGAATTGAAAAATGGTTCAATTTAAACTTTACAGTAAAGTACAAAAAGTGTCAAAATGTATAAAGAGGATAAACCCTAAACTAATCTAATAGACACTTACTGTGCTTGCTTAAACTTAGGTGTATGTGAAGTGGACCTGAGAAACAAGTCTGGCTACACCGCCATCATGTTGGCCTCCTTGACAGCTGTAGAAACACCAGGGGACATGAAAGTGGTCCAGCAGCTGATGGATCTTGGTGACGTCAACGCCTGTGTTGGCCAGGTGATGGTGTTACCAGCCAGATGGCACAGTGTGCACTTTATATCAAATGATTTGTTGGAAATAAGATTTGCAAGATTTGGCATTTTCTGTAATGTTTCAGAAGATGGGTGTGTTTGCTTCTGTTCTAAATAAATGTCTTTAGGTCGGACAAACAGCCCTCCACTTGGCAGTAAGACATGGACGTGTCCCAATGGTGCGTCTCCTGCTAGAACAGGGAGCGGATCCTAACGCCCAGGATCACGCAGGAACCACTCCACTGATCAGCGCATGTGATCGGGGACACATCAACATTGTGCGCATTTTGCTGGAGGAAGCAAACTGCAATGTCAATTTAAAAGACAAGGTAATTTCTCTTGCATGCTAGCCCAAACTTTAACAGAAAATAAAAACACCAAACTAGACGTTCATCTAACAGTTGTCTCACGGATAAAAGGATAACTTTACTGCTACAATTACACACGTTTGTACAGACGATGTTGTACAAATGAGTACAACATGGCCACGATTTAACTAAAACGATGGAACTAGTTAAAATGTGGCCATGATTTGATAAGTCTTGAGAAGGAATTGTTCATTCATACCCACAATATCTACTTTTTCTCGTCATTTGCAGGCATACAAGGAATGCTTATATTATTTCATGCAAATGAATAGCTTTATATAATTGTTTAATTTGAATGATATTTTTTAGGCACAATAGGTGCTTATTCCACTTTTAATGTCAGGCTTTATATATTTGTCATATTTACACATTAGATCTTTACATTGTCAAAATACTTTTGAAGTAATTTTAGAATGCAAATTTTAATGTTGCTTCCCCCATTTACCTGCACATGAATGCATATTTATATTTTGTAATATACAGAAGTGAGCAAATGTTTCATAAAAATGAGTTTATGCACTGTAACAAAAATACAAGCTGCACTTTATTGCTTTTAAACCCTCCTGGCTTGACTTCCAATGTAAGGGCATTACAAACACGATTCAGTCAATATGATTGGCTGTGGAATCATCATCTGTGGCACAGAATTTCATAAAAATGCTTCTTTTTATTGGTCTGTCTTTAATATTTTGGTGAAAAAGAAATCAATAAAACTTTGTAGGAGGAAGACAACATAGACAGTAAAAGAAATGGACACCGCTCTTTCGAGTACGATCAGTGTGGGTTGACAGAGCCGTTTCTGCTAGGCAGCTGAACTGAAAAAACTGCGCCACCTACTGGACACAAACCTGTCTGAACTCCAGAAACGGTCATTTCATGTTAACATGATGTCAGCCTCACTCTTCAAAACAGCAAAAGAAAGTAATGTGAAAGACAGCTCAGGAATACAGTGTTGGTCTAATCACTTTCTGTGTTCTGTCTTTATCGCCTCAATATCAGAGAATGAGAAAGAAAAAGAAAGCGAGATAATGTGAATGCATGTAAGACAAAATGAAATCTGTCAAGTCCACAGCTGAAACTATAGCATGTTGGTCAAGACACATCTGTGTCACATCAACACTACTGAAGATCTGCTCTGAGAACTAATAAATCCTCTAAAACAGAGCAGGTGCTGTAAAGACTTCCTGATGTCAATTGGTAACATCAGTGGCAAATGTTGTTCAAATCATTTTTTGATAAAGACTATATTCACATGCTGTTTAGATCTGAGTATCTCATGGATTGTCATCTATCATCTTCATACATCTGTGTTTTGTCTCTAGGCTGGTCGCAGTGCGTTGTCTCTGGCAACACAAGCCTCCCATACAGAGATAGCAGACCTTCTGAAAGCCCGCACAGAAACCAAGAGCTCAGACAAATGCAAGGTGTCTTAGCGTGGATCTCGCAGTCATTTAAACATTCATGTACAGCTACTGCTAAAAAAAGATCATCAATAAAATGTCAATATTATCATTTATAACATTAATAGTAGTTTGCTAATGTAAAGCTTGTCAATGTAAATATAACAGTCTCAGAACTGACAATAAAATTTAAAGACATTTATACCACTCTGGTCAGGGAAATGTTTTGTAATTAACCCAGTTTCATTTTTAGTCATTTCATGTCAATGAAATAAACTATTCAATAAAATCCTTTGGGTGGTTGACTGTGTATTTCAGACAAACACAATTGAATGTGATCCTTCTGGCATCTTTAAGTAAAATATTTTGCTTATCTAGAGGATTCAGTGAATCATCTGATGAGGATCCTTGACCATGTACATCTAGATATACATAAAGTCACTGTGGACAAGGTAAGCATAGAAGTGGGTAAATGCTGATAATATACAACACAGCATTATATGTATTTTGAGCTACAGTAGTATTGTTAAAAAGCAAACACTTTTCACTGTAGCGACACAATTCCTGAGGCAGTCCAACAAGATAGTGTCCTAGAATGGAAGACTAAACACCATATGTCTTGTATGAGAAAGAACAGAATCTTAAATTAAGCATAAAAATGCAGTTTTTTGCAACTCCGAACGTCATTCTACCTACAATTTTTCCAATGTTTGACGTTTGAATTGCATAACCAGCAACATGTTTGACTTTTGGGTAGCTCACTTGGTAGACAGCATTGCCCTTATAATACGGAGCATCCTATGGGTCCTGTGAAACACAAGTCACGATAAAAGAGCTTAAAGACTTGTAAAAGCAGCTGTGGTTGCTTCAATGTTTAAAGCTCACGTTTGCTTTTGTTAAAGGGATATTCCACTTTTTTTGGAAATAGGCTCATTTTACAACTCCCCCAGAGTTAAACTGTTGAGTTTTACCGTTTTTGAATCCATTCAGCCGATCTCCGGTTCTGGCGGTACCACTTTTAGCATAGCTTAGCATACATCATTGAAGTGGACAAGACCATTAGCATTTCTAAAAAAAAAAATGACCAAAGAGTTTCGATATGTTTCCTATTTAAAACTTGACTCTTCTGTAGTTACATCGTGCACTAAGACCGACGGAAAATGTAAAGTTGCCATCATATGGCTAGGAACTATACTCTCATTCCTGCGTAATAATCAAGAAACTTCACTGCCGTACCATGAGAGCAGCAGGCGTAATGATATGACGCAGCGCCTGAAAATAGGCCACCTTCCGTCAACACAACGGAACTATTTTCAGGCGCTGCGTCATATCATTACGCCTGCTGCACTCATGGTACGGCAGTAAAGTTTCTTGATTATTACGCAGGAATGAGAGTATAGTTCCTAGCCATATCAGCCTAGAAAATCGCAACTTTACATTTTCCGTCGGTCTTAGTGCACGATGTAACTACAGAAGAGTCAAGTTTTAAATAGGAAACATATCGAAACTCTTTGGTCAATTTTTTTTTAGAAATGCTAATGGTCTTGTCCTCTTCAATGATGTATGCTAAGCTATGCTAAAAGTGGTACCGCCAGAACCGGAGATCGGCTGAATGGATTCAAAAACGGTAAAACTCAACAGTTTAACTCTGGGGGAGTTGTAAAATGAGCCTATTTCCAAAAAAAAGTGGAGTATCCCTTTAACACTCTCGGTTCAGGGCCGTGTTTAGTGTGTGCTACGCTTTTTTCAAATGTGATAGAGCATTAACCTTTTAGTGACACAATTCGATTTTTTTCCTCCCATGTGGCATAGATCGGAAATAACCCACGAACGAAGCTGTAAAAAAGCACATGGATTCCGATATTCTCAGATCGGTTTCAGGCCTCGTTCATGTGGAAATAAGTCTAATGTGAATCGGATTTGTGCATTTACGTCTGCCATGTAAGCAGACAGATCGGATATTCCCCTGCCAATGCGAGTCAATGTACGTCATTGTCAAAAGCGAAGGTGGCGAATGACGTCGACTCAAGTGGACACCAACAGTGATCACATGACTCTTATTAATGGTGCAATGAAGGACTAAGGCTCAACCCAATATTTTGCTGAACTTCAAAGCTTGTTTTATCATTTCGTCTGCTTCCATGTGCCGTTTTTACTTCCTTTTAAGCCCAAGTTTTTCTTCGTCAGTATTGGGTTGTTTCGCCAAGTGTCTAGTAAAGCCACTTGAAGGCAAGCCTGCAACCTTCGCTGAAAAAGTGCAACGTCTGCTAACGCTTCGGTATGCAGAAAAGGAGACGAGAGTTTTTTTTTTTTTAATGGATGTCAATGGAGGAGAGGCTTCACTACACTGAATAAACAGCTTTTGTGGGAAAACAGCTTATCATTTAATGAATCGACAGTGCATCGGCTAATCTTCAACATGCTTGCTCTTAAAGATTTGTTTTGGATTGATCTATTTCTGGAGTTGCTGTTTGCTGACAGGTGTGATTCAGTTTACGGCACTTCTCACTCATGTGGTATCCGCAAACAAACAGTGATTGACTGTCACAGAACTCTGGAAAAAAATGCAATGACATCGAGGCTGTAATGTAGGGGTGTAACGATTCATTCGTTTTCTCGATGCATCGATTACAAATCCTGACGATGCATATGCATCGATCTTGAAACATGTATTTCGAATCGTGAATCGTTTATTTCGGTCAATATTCGATTTAAAATGCTAAGAATCGAATAATTTTCGATTCTATATCGATTCAGTGCTTTAAAACATATAAACATTAAATGACTACATGCGCGAATTAATGAGGCATTGTGCGGCGTCATTTCGCGTCCTCACTCACAGCTCTCACATACTCGCTGCACTCTTACCATCTTTCACTGGATTTCGCTCGCGCTCGGTCCCATATAGCTCTCATCTACAGATTTTTGAGCAGTCCATGTTTGAGCTCTCCTCAGGACAGCCATTGGTGTAAACATGAGCAGATGACAGCTCTCTATCGAGAAAGCAAGCCATTGATAAAGCTGCCATATCATTGCGCGGTCACTGCTATGAAACAACGCGTTCGTTGCGTGGAAACGTCACCGTTATTTTCTTTAAGATAAGATAGGCTACTGAAGTTTTACGGAAATGGGTCATACCCGTCCTGAGCAGTTAAAGTAAAACCCCACTTATTCAAGGGTGCGCATTTATTACATGGAAAGAGAAAACGTATAGGTGTCTAAAATGCACACGCTTCCGATTAATCATGAATGATGAATGAAATGTAACTTAATGTCGTTAAACTGAACTGATGAAATAACTACAACATTAATTACACTGAAATAAGAGCGCGTGGTTTATCCATCAATCAGATGCGCATTAAAGTTGCATTCGTAATCGTTAATATAGCACAAGTAGACAGCCGGCGCGTTCTCTTACGAGAGTATCTCTCGTACTGCGTAATAGCTTTACGCTAGGGGAAAAACTCTTTTCCGCGAGATATTGAAGCCAAAAATTATCCTTTAATTTTTTATTAATGCAAAACGCTTTGCAGCAGCAAGCAAACATAGGCGAAACAGCTCGCGCGCCTATTGGTTGCTCTGCAGCAAATGCAGCAGCCTATCGAGAGAGACTCTGCGTGACGTAATGACCAATGGGGGCAATTCGCGCCCATATCGTCACGTCCCGCCAGAAGGGGCGTGGTCTCGCCCTATAAATATGCTCGTTAGGCTGATACAAGCTGATTTTTACCTCTTCAGCGAAGCACACGCATCGCTGGATCCGGAGTGAGAAGCCGCGCCGTCGAAGCAAGCCTTTCAGCGGGACGAGCTCTGGAGTCGCTGGCCTCGCCGCCTTCATCTGCCGTACCTGCTGCGCTTTCCGGCGTTATATATCCTTTCAATACTCTGTGTGTATTTCTCTGTTGAGAAGTGTTTGTTCGCTTACTTGACGCGACTTACACTTCTCTCACAAAAAGAGCAGCGTCTTTTTAAAGATGCCTTCCTGTGGCTCGTGCCGCGCCCCGCTCAGCGATGGAGATCGACACGTCATCTGTGTTTCCTGTCTGGGTGAGGATCACGCGGCTCTCGCGCTCGCTGACGGCGGATGCCCTCATTGCGAGCTTTTGCCCATGGTGACTCTGAGGACGCGCCTGGCATCATTCTCCGAGCCTTCACCACAGCCCGCCGTGACGCCGCGCCGTAAAAAGCGCCGCGCCCAGCGCGCTCCCGAGCTATCTCCAGCCCGCCAAAGCTCGCCGGTTCGCCCGCCTGCTTCGCCGGCTTCGCTCGAGTCGCTCACTGACGGACAACGGCCGCCGCCTGCCGCCGCGTCCATCCACGAGCCTGACGAACCCTCCGAGGCGTGTTCTCTTCTGGCGTCCGATAGTGAGGATTGGGCGAGCTCCGTGGATCTCCCCTCCGCTAGCGTTTCCCGCCAGACCACTGGTAAGAGAGCCGGCATTGAGACTGAGCTGATGCGTCTGCTCTCTCAGGCCGTTGAAAGCATCGGCCTCGATTGGGAGGCGCCCGCGCAGCCGGCGCGCAACAGAATGGACGGACGCTTTCTCGGAAGTGACGAGGCTCCGTCGAAATCGCGGCCCGCGCCCTTCCTCCCGGAACTTCACGACGAAGTTACGAAATCGTGGAACGCCCCCTTCTCCGCCAGGCTTCGTACCTCTGCTTCTGCTGCTTTCTCCTCTGTGGATGGCGCGAAGGAAAGAGGATACCTTTCTGTTCCTCCTGTGGAACCAGCTGTAGCGTCTCATCTCTGCCCGCCCTCCGCTGGACGGCGCGCGCACACGACGCTTCCATCTAAAGCCTGCCGGGTGACGTCATCCATGCACGGTCGCGCTTACACCGCCGCCGGGCAAGCAGTTTCAGCGCTGCACACTATGGCCATCCTGCAGATTTTCCAGGCCGACCTTCTCCTTAAACTGGACTAGGAAGGACCCGGAGCGATCTGCGTCGCGGACCTGAGAAGCGCTACAGACCTCGCTCTTCGCGCTACTAAAGCCGCTGCACAGGCCATAGGACGAAACATGGCCTCTCTCACCGTGGCTGAGAGACATTTGT